ACCAACAAATTTCAGGTTGGCTTACTGGCCCCTTCCTTTCCTAGGGACACTTCCAAAACCTGGCAAGTGGTTCTCCCTAAGGTCCTTAACCTTTCACTAGTGTTACTTTGTTCTAGTAGTCAAAGATGCTTTCAAAATGAATGCTTGAAATACGTCCCCCACCCATGGCACCACTTGGTGGTACCACTACAGCAACATTCTGATAGCGGGAAATGATAGTCCTAGGGGCCCTCTACCTTGCCCCAGTAATGATTTGAAGCACACTTCAAAGATAAGGGGTATAACATCTGACTTTTAATCTGTATATCAATAGACAATGTGAAAAACAACAAAGTTCAGGTTACCTAACTGGCCTTTTCTAGTCATTGGAACCTGTCAAAAAGTTGACAAAGGATACTCCCTAAGGCCCTTAACTTTTTTCCAGTTTAGTGTTAGTTTGTTCTAGTGGTCATTGATGGTTGAAAAATGAAAGCATGAAAGATGTTCCCCACCGTTGGCACCACTTGGTGGTGCCGTTACAGCCTCAAACCGATTGCGGGAAAGATAGTCCTAGAAATCTTCTATCTTGCACAGTAATGATTTAAAGCACACTTATAAGATAAGAGGTATAATAGCTGCTTGAAATACGTAACCCGCCCTTGGCACCACTTGGTGGTACCACTTCAGCCTAAATTTTATGGCCGTATATAATAGCCCTGTGGACCCTTTTACCTTGAGCCAGTAATTGTTCGAAGCACACTTCAAGGATCATAACTTAAAATAGATTAACACTTTTCTGAGGAAAATTTTCTTGGCAAAAATTTATTGATATTAATTAAACAAGTAGTGTGAAACACTGATGCCCCGTATGGCAGCTTATGGCAAAGGTCAAAGTTTCTTAAATACAAGGTAAACTCCAAGGTCAAGAGATCAAAAATGTTGTTATCCAAAGAAAGGACTTGTGTCAGTGGATAAACCTGGTAAATATGAAAGCCCAAACACCAAATATTGAAAAGTTATGGTCAAGGTTAATGCTTTCTAATAGTGCGTCAAACTCCAAGGTATAGATGAAAGGGTCAAAATTAATGGTATGCAGGGGAAGACCTTGTCATATAAAATACACATGCAAAATATAAAAGCCCTGGCACCAACTTTCAAAAGTTATGGCGAAGGTTGAAGTTTTTCAAAAGTAGGTCAAACTCCAAGGTCAATGTCAAAAGGTCAAAAGTGTTGGTATTCAAAGGAAGGTCTTGTCACAAGGAATATACGAAAGTGAAATTTGAAAGGCCTAGTCCCAAATGCTCAAAAGTCATGGCCAAAGTTAAAGTTTTTCAAAAGTAGGACAAACCTGAAGGTCAAGGTCAAAATTGTTGGTATCCAAAGAAAGGTCTTGTCACAAGGAATATACCTGTGAAATTTGAAAGCCCTAGTACTAACTGCTCAAAAGTTATGGCCAAAGTTAAAATTTTTCAAAAGTAGGTCAAACTTCAAGGTCAAAAAGTGAAAAATATTTACATATATCATGGGAATGTCTTGTCAAGATGAATACACATGAGAAATATAAAAGCTATATATCACCAACTGATCAAACGTCATGGCCACGGTTAAAGTTGGGAAAATTTTGGCAAAAGTGGGTCAAACACTAAGGTCAAGTTCAAGAGGTTAAATATGTTGCTACCCAAAGGAAGGTCTTGTCACAAGAAATACACATGTGAAATATGAAAAACATAGCGCCAACCAATCAAAAGTTATAGGCAAATGTTAAAGTTTTTGCGGACAATCAGACGAACGGATAAACAGACAAACAGACAGATAGACGGACATGGCAAAAACTATATACCCCCGAATCTTCGATTACGGGGCCATAAAAATGATGTGTTACTTGCGGGGTTCGAACCCTAGCAATAAAAATCCTGAGTATCATTTTCCTTTGAGACCATCACGCTAACCACCTTGCTACATAACTCTTGATGAATAGTGGCATTTAAATCATGTTTGTGACATGACCCTTGAATAAATGGACCAATTATTTCTCGGAAAGATGCGAATGTTGTGTCATAAAAGTGTATTTTTAAGGTATAGTGGGTCTTTGCTCCATATTTTTACTAACAAAAAGATGTACATTTTTACGCAAACTTTGAGGATAAACTTTCAAAAAATGGAGCGAAGACCCATTCATATCGAAAAATTGTATTAAAGTATGAGAAAATGATCCTTTTTTAGTGTGTGTCTGCTATTTCATAGGCAAATGATTTCAATCTTTGTGAGATTTTTGCAAACTGTGGAGATTTTTCATAAAGTATACTTTAATGTTAGATGAAATTTAGAAGAAAATTTTGTTATAAATAATTAAGATTTAATTTTTTCACCTTCACGTTTGTCGCACTATAGGCATTTCGGTCACCTTGTTCGCCCATCTTCTTTCTCAAGACTATATAATGATAAATCTTTATGAGTTGATCAAGTGCTGTTCGTTATCTCTACCCTTTACACACCAAACAAGCAACAAATACAAACTCTTAGAAGCACAAACAGTTTTGTTTTATATTTACAGTACGACTGGTAACGTATAAATACTTCGCACTTGAAACTGTACAAAGTAAACAAATTGCTCAAAATGGAAACATTCAGATTTTAAACCACTACTCTACCTGCGAATAATATTTTGAAATCATACAGCTGCAAAAAAGAATATTAAAGTAAATGTTCCTCACATTTGCACTTCCATTTGCACCTCTGCACTTCTTTTTCAGAAAAAAAAAACCCAATGAGAAATTAAACAATACCTGTATTTATCTTTTTTTTTTTTTTTTTTTTTTTTTTTTTATAAAACATAATAATGTTTCACCCTCAAATCTGTTCAAAAAGCTTTAGAATTTAATTTCAGTTCAGATTTAAAACATGGTAACGTAAACATCGGTAGCATAAATATTTGTCTGAAATTTGTCGTCATATTGTATTGTTGTTACTTAATTATCTCAATGTTAATTAAAGGTATATTTACTGCTTGACTTGTAGGTCACTTTAATTCTAAAGAAACAGTCTTGTTCTCCTACATATTTTTGTGAAAAATTTATATATAATCACTAGATTTATAATAAAAGTGGGGCAATATTTGATAAATATATAATCACTAGATTTATAATAAAAGTGGGGCAATATTTGATAAATATATAATCACTAGATTTATAATAAAAGTGGGGCAATATTTGATAAATATATAATCACTAGATTTATAATAAAAGTGGGGCAATATTTGATAAATACAGAAAAACAGTTTTTGTTTTATACCATTCCATTTATAATAGCATAATTGTTCTTGATATTAAAAAAAAAGTTTAACTTAATCACATTTTTCAGCAAAGCTACAAGTTCATTTCAGTATATACGGATGGCAAAGTATTTGTTTTTGTTTTGTGGCGATCGACATCAAAATTCGATAATTATATTAAAATTATTGTAAAAATTGTCATACGTATTGTGAAGGGTGTGATATTCGGATAATATGCATATGTAGCTTAAATGTTGGACAATGCAACAATGAAAGAAAGAGATATGTGGACGATTTCAAGCTTCTTAATTCAACATAAAAACTACACAGTGATCGGCTATATTAGCGTAAATATCGATTTCTACTATAAAATCTGATTTTCTTCTAAGACATTGAAGTTACGACAAACAAATGTATTCATAGGCGTCGGAAGCAAATTGAAAAGGGGGGGGGGTAATTGAAAGACAAAAAATTTCAAGCCTGGAAAAACTTGACAAGCAAAATAAATAAATAAATAAATAAATAAATAAATAAATAAATAAATAAATAAATAAATAAATAAATAAATAAATAAATAAATAAATAAATAAATAAAAATAATAATGAAAAAAATAAAAGGAAAATTGAAAATTGTCCAAACCCGAAAAATCCTATTTCATGGGGGGTGGGGTGGGGGTAGGATCGAACTTCTTTCAGTACCAATTTTTTTTTAAACGCTACCACTTACCCTTCTTTGATTACACGACAATGTGCCTGTTGAAAGTGGGGGGGGGGGGCTAAACCACGCCCCAATATTCAATGCCTATATTACATGTTTGTCTATCTTTGCCAAAGAAGTGGCGGGGGGGGGCTAAGCACCCCCTCCCCTCCCCCGATTCTGACGCCTATGGTATTTTAATCAAAATGACTTATATGACTGACAGAAAATAAAAATTCTTTGAAATGTTATATTCCTTAAAACACTGTATATCATTTAAAGCTTATTGACACTATATACTCTGAAAATCGGTGTTAAAAACTTTATAAGTCAAAGGCAAGATACAAGTATTCATAGTGGATAATTTATCTATTGTAGGATTAAAAAATCAAACGGCAATCTAAACAACAATCACAATGCTCTACAACTTCTCAAAATCTAACAAAACTGAAATTTAATACTCCATAATTTCCATATTATACAAAGTTAGATGTTGAATGTGTTCATAGCATTTAGTTTTTGAATTAGTGTAAAAGTACTTTTTAAACTTCTCACCCCTATATAAATCTTTTGCATGGTTAGCGCAACTGTTATTAAGCATACAAAGAGGAATAACTCTAATTCAGATCACCTCAAAAAAAAAAAAAAAAAACAAAAAATAAAAAAACAAAACAACAACAACTCTGATAGGGGGAAAACGCTTTTGTTAGTTCCGAATTGTCCGTTTCTCAGAATGCAGTAAGTGCTGACCTTACTAACAATATTTAATGTACAACTGGTCTCTCACCCGAAATACACTGTATGTCAATGTATATAACAAATTAATAAAATTGCAATTTAAACCAACTAAAAGAGGTATATATAACACATTTATGTACTTCTCACGTGTACTCCCTTTTCAATTTGCCCCTAGTCTAATACAGAACACCCCCCCCCCCCCATCAACTTTTACCTTCCCAAACACTAGTACAAAACTGTCCTGTCATTGTCGCAGCCCACAGCTGGCAATTGCATCTGTTATAAAATTTTAACTCATAGTATAATAATACTATATAGCTTAAAAATTTATCACAAAAACAATCAAGTGTCCGTGTCGCAGCCATTGGGTTAGAATCCGTCTCCCACTGCTTACAGGAGCAAGAGCGAATTAAACCCGTTGGTTAGCGATTCAGGTTTTCTACAGTATTCGTTTCTTATAACGTCGCTACTGAAAGCATCTTTTCGAAAAATTTGTAAGCCCTTAAAAGGGCTTTAAATGTCACTGCGTTGTACTAAGACAACGGGCACTGGTCTGTCCTTCACTTCTTTGCGACTTTCTTAGCTCCGGTTTTCTTTGGAGACTTGGCCTTCTTAGGTTTTGCTGCCTTAGCCTTCTTCGGCGATTTTTTGGCTGCCTTGGGTTTGGCAGCTTTTGGTTTAGCTGCCTTGACTTTCTTTGGCGAAGCTTTCTTTACCTTCTTCGTCTTCTTCTCACCCGCCGGTTTCTTAGCTGCCTTAGGTTTCTTTACTTTGGGCTTCTTGACGGGGGATTTCTGTTTCTTAGCTGCCTTGGGTTTCTTGACTGCGGCTTTTTTCTCTCCAAGACTAAATCGACCTTGGGCTCCAACGCCTTTTGTCTGTTTCAGGGCGCCACTTCTCACTCCGTTTCTTAGTGCTGCTTTCACCCTCGTGTTAACCTTTGCTTTGTCATCTCCAACCTTGTTGTTACTTTGTACATACTTGACAATGGCATGTCTGGAGGATCCTTTCCTTTCTTTCAGGGCCTTGATCGCTGTAATGACCATGTCCAAATATTTAGGATGGTCCGCATGTTTCTTTGGCTTGGCTGCAGTCTTCTTTTTGGGGGTCTTCTTAACTGGAACGTCAGTTACGTCTGCCATTTTTGTTGTAATTTTTCCGCTTCTAGTCCGTTCACTGAACAAGAAGTAGTATGACGTTTAAACATGTGCGCCGCAATATATTAGTGTAGCGCGGACGTCGTGGAGAGCACCCAATCAATAAACACAGAGTTGCATGGCTGACAAGGAAATCTACATGAATTGTGTTTTAAGGTTGTGTTCTTGGGCAGTTTTCTTACGAATGCGACAATTGTAAAATTTAGGAAGATTGACATTAGATTTATCATATTCAAAAAAATATATAAAATGAATTTAGAAACAAATATAATTATCTTTTCTTCCAGAAAAAGAAGATTTTATGCGAAAGATGACAACTGAATTCTCGCATGAGTGCATTAAAATTAAGTAGTAAATTTGTAATTAAAAGTTTTAAATTGACATATTAATTGGAAAAGAAAGATATGATATCCTTTTTTAAGTTTTTGACATGGGTATCATTTTAATGCGCTGAGGTTAATGGGTTTATTCAATTTAAGCACAGCTTCCAAACACAAAATGGAGCACAGGCATTTCATTACTGTTTTGCATGATAAAAAGGTCGAAGTGTTTTCTAAAGTAACAATTTGTTGTGAAGCATGAATTATTCACTAATATACTCTTTGAAATATTTAGAAATGTTTTCTGTCAAAGTTTTGGCTCAGAGAGGTCGTTTACTTGTGTTTGTGGCAAATTTCTGATCGCATGTTGTCGGACTTTATTAGTAAAAATGGCCTCCATTTTATCATCAGAGAAGTTTGTTGTGAAATGGATTTCGATTAAGCTGAAAAGTAAAGAGGGAAACAAACATGGTTATCTGATATTAATTGAATGACGTCTTTTGAATGTAATGAAATTAGGTTTTCCTCAAATTCTTTTTTACATCGACATACTACATCATTCAGAGTTCGGCGAAGTTTATATATGTCATGGCGTCCAATTTTTTTTTTAAAGCAAAATAGTAAAAAAAATTTTTTTGAACCACTGATATATACTTTGACTTTCTTGACGTTGACTAAGAAATCCTACAATATTATGATATATTTTACATGTAATTTAATTCCTTTTTACATTTGATTAAATTTTAGAGCGCATTCATGTTTTCTCATTCATGAAAGTGATGTGCACGCGTAATAAAAAGAATTAACGGATCATTCTTTGGAAAAAGACAATCTTGAATCCTTAATATTTTACCAAAAAGTAATTTAATATATATAGTTATCACAGAATTCTTCTCATTAGAAAATGATCAGATTATAGAATAGAATGATAACGAAGAACTTATATTTAGTCTTGATGAGAAGCAATGTGATCTTGGATAAATACATGCATGATACACACTCTTTGTAATTCAAATTGTATTGAAGATGAAATCCATTTCCTTACAAATTGTTTTTTATATAATGAAGAAAGGAAAGTTTTGTTCAACTTTTTAAGTGACAATTATAAAAATTTCAACACTCTGTCCAACAATCAAAAATTTTTATGGATTATGACAAATGAAGATCACAATATATTATTTAAACTATGTGACTTTTTATCCAAATCTTTTATTAAGAGAAAAAACCTCATAAAAAAATAATAAAAGTAAAAATGTTAGAAAATACATAATTTTTCAATTCATGTGTACTTCAGTCTTTACTACTAATATACTTTGCATTTTTTTTAATATTCTATCTTATAAACATTAAGTCTGAAAATGCATGTGCATTAATTGTCATTTTATGTTGATGCCCCCTACCACAATGTGTGTATATATGTGTATGTGTGTATGTGTATGTATGTGTATGTATGTATGTATATATATATATATATATATATATATATATATATATATATATATATATATATATATATATATATATATATATATATATATATATATGTATGTATATGTATATGTGTATATGTATGTATATATATGTATATATATATGTATATGTGTGTGTGTGTATGTGTGTGTATGTATGTATATGTGTATATATATGTATATATACATTGAAGAGTCATATGTCTATTTTATGTACATGTTTATATAGGTGCATGTATGTCTAAATGATTTTTTTTTTCTTTCAACTATATTTTAGGCCTTTCTCTTGTAAGTTTGTTCTCTTTATGCTCATTTGGGCACTGAATTAGTAATAAAACATATCTTATCTTATCTTATCTTATCATACATGTATACAGGCCTTAGGGCTCACTCCTACGAAGGTATTATAAACACTGGGTGCAATTTGAATTTGATGAAAAATAGAAAGATTTCATACATGTGATTTTAATGCGCATCATGCATTTAGAACATCTGTTATATATTAATTTATTTTATATCGTCAAATGCAATAAATATTTTGCACATATAGTGATCATTGTACATTGATTACAAAAAGTTGACTTCCATGGAAAACTCAAATTTTTTTCTGTCAAAAATTTTGATGTCTCTTATATTAACTTCATCATTAAATGAAACATTTGTGCGTTTGTGTTTTTATTTGTATCAATGCATTTTAAATGGATGCACACTGCAGGAAAAAAAAACCCAGTTGCATATGTTTTGGTCTTCTAGTTTTTTTTCATATACTTGTTTATAACTGGCCAGTGCAGATAAGGAGCCATAATCTCTTTGTTCAGGATCCTCCTCTCCCTTTCTTCTTTTAAATATTTTAAAGATAGAACTCTACAATTTATTGTATTTTGAACTTGCGTAATTTGATCTTACAGTTTTATTTTTGAACCGTTTTTCCATCTCAAGATAAAAACTGAAAAATGCCGCAAATTTTCATGTTTTTTTTTTCTATCGGGTCTAAAATGAGATAAATTGTTTCGGTTTAGTTTTCTTTCTTTATTTTTAAGGTTTCTCATTATTACTTCGAATATCTGTTGATTGTTGAATTCATTTCAATTACCGAATTCCTCTATTGTTGAAGCTACTCTTTTCTGTTTCGTTGCATGTTAATTTGATTGAATCGTAACCGACATGAATAAAAATTTCTTGATCAGACATGATTTTTTTTTCACTTTTTAAAAATAACCAAACAAGAAATATATTTTTCTTTTAGGACATTCACATTTTCAATGGTTTTCGGTTTGAATATAAACAATTGCCATTGTTTTGGCAACCTTTCATGTAAAAAAAAAATCTCTCTGATCATTCCCCGATAATTCTTCCAGAATATTGAATTCCTTGTAATATATATGCAGAGACCTATATACTAATAGTATATAGGTCCTGATATATGTGGATGCGCTCTCACGTTGTGTACAGTATGAAAAAGATTCTCGAAATAATAACGTACGAGTTAATGGAATCTCGCTAACCGGAAGTTTTGAATGTGAGGAAAAATAAAACTTTAAAAGTATATATTTTTTCAACATTATGGACCATGACGGAAAATGATGCTAAATGGTTATGAAAGCGTAGAAATAAAAGACCAAAGAGCATTTCCAAAGCGGCGAAAAATTCATCTGGACAGAGTGGACTGTTTTTCCCTTGCGAGGACAGCTGAGGGGAGTTCCAGTCTTTCAGATCCTCTCTTGAATGACATAAGAAGAGGGAGAAATCGACAGTTGCTTCCAATTTATAGAACTCATAGGAACAGCATGGATAATTTTAATAAGAATTCATCAGATCGTGCCTTTGGATTTCAGTCAGCCTCAGAATTTCACCAACAAGAGACTTGTCCAGAGCTGCCCAGGCATGATGGCACAGAAACACCAAAGAAAATCACTACTGAAGGCATAGAAACACCAAGGAAAACATCTAGAAAGTTGAAATCAAATATACCTTCAAACCAGAAGAGCCTCACTTCTTACTTTTCTACAAATGAAGATAACCTTTATGGAAAATACCAGTTGAATTTAGCATCACCGAGATCCATTCAGTTATCAGGGGAGTCTTCCACTACTGCCATTTATATCAGTGACTCTGATTCTACAAGCAGGTCACCAGCAACTTCTGATCAACCGTCAGGCAGTCAAAGTAGAACACCATCAAAAATGTTTTCTCCCATCAAATTGTTAGGAAACTCATCATCAATATATAGCATAGATGCAGATTCACCTACTTCTAGTCAAAACTCCAACAGTGAACAAAAAGTAAAAAATATTGAAAGGACTGATGTTGTGAAAGCCTTGTTTGAGGGACAAAAGAATCTGGCAAAAAATCCCCAGCAGAGAAAAAGAAAAAGAAATGAAGGAGGGAAAACTTGGTCTATCCTATCTAAAGTGCCAAAAACAACAGCAGCTTTGTTTTCAAAGGAAATGGAAGAAATGAACTCATCAGATGATGATGTTTTATGTACAGCTGAAGTGGATACCGATTCAAAATTTGGTCTTCTTGGGTACCAGCCTGCAGAGAAAATAAATTACTTTGAGAAGCTTCCAGATGAACTGCTGCAAAAAATATTTTGTCAGTTGCCTATTTTGGATCTTTGTTTGAATTGCAACAGAGTTTGTGTTAGGTGGAATCAGGTCATTTCACAAGAAAAGGTACATTTTATTGTTTACCTTTCCTAGATAATGTAAACTTTCCATGTAAATGATGAATCATTTAGGGCAGAAACGATTCACTGAAATATCCATGTTGTTCAATATTACTGCTCTGTTCAATGTTCGATTCACCATCTTGATTTTCGGTTCGGTAATTGTTTTTTTTTTTAATCGGGTTTGGTTACTCCTTGAAATAGATTGGGTTCGACCTCATTTTAATAGTTTGACACACACGAGGGAAAAAATTGTGACGGAGAAAGTTTCAGAGTAAGCTGCCACTGCTAGTATTGACACAAACAATGTGCTCTTTTAATCGACAGAAGCACAAGTAGTGCTCTTTATTGTATCACCACCTTTTACTTGCCTTTTGAAATCTGAATACATGTTTTCTTTAACCTTATGATTTGTTTCTTTTTGTGTCGTATTGAAAAAATTGAATTGTAACACACGTATTGCGATACATACCGTATCGTGGAGGGGATGTATCATTTCAGCCCTAGAACCAAAGTATCTCATTGTCACTATAGTAAGTAATGCAAAGTTAATATTGCTTACTAAGGTAATATTCTTGCAAATCAATCACCTCTACAAATAATAAAAACCTTTTTTTCACACATGTGACAGATGTTTGCATGTTTTTGAGGATTGCTAAAGACATGTGAGAAAAAACTATACCATATTCTGTGTTAATTTTCTTGAGAAAAAATAAGAGATCTTGACATTAAAAATTGTGGGAAAAAAGAGGAAATAAAAGGATATTTTTGATTGAGAAGGTGGCTGAAGAAAGTACATGTAGTCATAAAGTAAAGTTGGCTTAAATTAATGTATTGAACAGATGATGAACTCAATACAAAAAATTACACTCCAATGTGAATGAAGAGAGTCTTGTAAGAAGCATATAAACAAAGGGGTAATAATTATATATCTATTTATTGAGCCCAACATGTCCAATGTTATTTGTTAATGAAGTTCCAAAGTTTCAGTTTCATTTTTTTTGGATTGAGTCCAAGTGGTAAATACAATGTACCATTTTATAATCTGTTTAGTTTATGAGGTGGAAGAAAATTTACTATAAGCTGAAGAAAGACAATCAGAATTCCCATGAATCCAAGCATGCCATCAGGACGATCATGAGGGAGAACGGAATGGTGAATACATCCGAGTATCTTACTGGACTAATCAGGTGAGCATCTTTCAGGACTCTTGAGGTGAGCATCTTAATGGACTCATCAAGTATCTTACTGGACTCATCAGGTGAGTATCTTACTGGACTCATCAGGGAGTATCTTACTGGACTCATCAGGTGAGTATCTTACTGAACTCAACAGGTGAGCATCTTACTGGACTCATCTGATATTTTTCTGAAATATATCAGGTGAGTATCTTACTGGACTCATCAGGTAGGTATCTTACTGAATTAATCTGGTGAGCATCTTACTGGGCTCATCAGGTGAGTATCTTACTGGACTCCTCTGGTGAGCATCTTACTGGGATCATCAGGTGAGCATCTTACTGGGCTCATCAGGTGACCATCTTACTGATCAGGGAGTATCTTACTGGACTCATCAGGGAGTATTTAACTGGCCTCATCATGTGAGTATCTTACTGGACTCAGCAGGTGAGCATCTTACTGGACTCATCTGGTATTTTTCTGAAATACATCAGGTGAGTATCTTACTGGACTCATCAGGTAGGTATCTTACTGAACTCATCATGTGAGCATCTTACTGGGCTCATCAGGTGAGCATCTTACTGGACTCATCAGGTGAGCATCTTACTGGACTCATCAGGTAGGTATCTTACTGAACTCATCATGTAAGCTTCTTACTGGGGTCATCAGGTGAGCATCTTACTGGACTCATCAGGTAGGTATCTTACTGAACTCATCAGGTGAGCATCTTACTGGACTCATCAGGTGAGGAGGTCTCTGTTGATTGAGTGCTGAAAAGGTCTAATGTCCAGCAGTTACCCTGGTTGCTTCCATTGTCTACAAAATTAAGATATAACAAGCAAATATTGTACATTTTAACGTCTTAAGGCTTAATGCAATATTGCTTTTCAAGGAAAGTGAGAAATTTAAGAATTGGTAATATTGACAATTATTAGTTATTCACCATTTTTGTCCATGTTTTACATTATGTACATTTCCATGTCCGTATTTTCAGTGATACAGATCTATAAATTATTATAAACAATTGATCAGTAATTTTTGTTCTAAGTAGATTTAAATACAAGTCTTTTTTTTGTTCTCAGTAGATTTAAATACAATACAAGGAATTTTTTCTGGAGAAGCTTTAGAGATGAGTGTATAAGAGTTTATAATCAGTGATAATTTTACAGGTATTTCAAATCATTCTATTCGTTCCCTATGTCTGTGTACAGAGACATTGTGGAGAAGTTAGAGGCTCACAAAAAATACACATGGGCTAAAGCTCTTCTGGAGGAGAGGATGCCGGAACTCATTATAGATAGGGTAAAATATACAGGAAATCAGAGACATTAACATAAACAGATTATTTACATTTCTCTAATGTTTAAAATTAAAAATTGAATTTACAGAAGAATATATATATTTTTTATGCATATGAATGAATTCAGTAAGAATTTTTGGAAAAAAAATTGTGTTGTTAACTATAATAAACACATGGAAAGTGAAAATGAAGCTTATAATTAGATAAACAGAAACTGAAAAGTTAAACCTATCCTGTAATGATATTTTTGATGTACATAAAATTTACGCATGTATACAATAACATGATGCTTGGAAGCCTGGCTGCCATTGAATCACCAAAATTTGGCAAGATGATAATCAGTGTTCTATAATTTAAAATACCTGACATGTAATGTAAGAAGACAGACTGATTTTTATAGGTTCCAAACCCCTGGAGTATGATTGTGACCCTGGTGGTCATCTCGGAGACGGTAGGAGACGTACAAGAAGTTATTAGTTGTATGGCTCGTTCTACATGTCTGACAGAGGACATTCTGGAGATGTTATACTGCTGTGCCTCCATTTTGCTGGTGATGAAATTCCTTAAAAGAAAAGCTGTATGGAATGGGTGAGTAAAAGTACATTTATGATCATGTAGAAATAAATTTATTGAAGTTCTATCCAGAACTATACAAGATATTTGACATAATCATTCCTGTGAATACCACATTTGGGGTGTAATTATTTCTGGATACCTTCAAATACTTTTGTATTCACATGCTCTTGTTTAACTTAGTTCCACCTCTTCGAGCCTTATGATACATTGGTTAAAGGTCACACTCAGTCTAGACTGTGCCATCACATCTTTTATCTTTTATGTTAGTTTCACTTTCATAATGGAGTCTAATCAGTGCAAATTTTTAACAAAAGGCATTGATACAACTTTTAAGAGAAGATGCAAAATTCTTTTTTGTTTTAATAGCTCTTGATCTACAAGAACTAAATCTTGGCGGCCATATTTTTGTCCACCATTATTGTAGTGAAAGAATTCTCAAATACTTGCAAATAAAAATTTTCTCCTGAATGTTCAGATGTCAGTTCTTTGTTCTTACAAGTTAGTCTGCAGATCTAACTTTGCAAGGGTTGTTTTGTGAATTTTAAGCTCTAAAATCTCTTATTTGCAAGCAAAATACAATTTTCATTTTCTTTGAAGTTAAAAAAAAGGTAAAATGATTAAGAGCTTGTATCAGCTTTTCAATGGTGAAATTATATTTCAAGAGATACTGAGATCCACTTAATAAAATTTTTGGTGTTGAGCCTCTTTAAATAGGCTAGACTCTTAAATTTTAAATCAAGTATATTCACAAGAAATATTGATCATGCTTTTACAGAATGCATTACCGATTGTTCTATGCACTGTATTTGTTTGAGAATACATCTGTGTCTTATTGCGGTGATCTGAGACCAGCAGTCAGGGGAGGTCAGCAAAGCATCATGACTTACAGGTAAGCAATGGCTTACAGGTAAGCAATGAATTACAGGTTAGTAATGAATTACAAGTTAGTAATGAATTACAGGTAAGCAATTATTTACAGGTTAGTGAAGAATTATAGGTAAGCAATGATTTGCAGGTAAGCAGTGAATTACAGGTAAGCAATGATTTACAGGTTAGTAATGAACAACAGGTAAGCAATGAATTACAGGTAAGCAATGAATTACATGTAAGCCATGAATTACAGGAAAGCGATTGATAACAAGTTAATAATTAATTCAGGTACTAGACAGGTAGGTAATAGGTTACCAATAAATTACAGATAAGTAATGAATGATAAGTTGGCAAGGAAATACAGGTTAGCAATAAATTAACCAGTGACAGAAATGATCTTTGTTTTTATTTGCAGTCGAGCAGATACTGTTGTAAAATTAACGCATGAACAACTTAGAATTGTAAATCACAATGTACTGCCAGGGGAAGTTATCAAGATCATGGCATTTGCAGGTTTGTGTTCTATCCTAATAAACTTTTCTTATGAATATCTTAATATTTTTGCATTTGCAGGTTTTTGTTACAATATTGATCATAATAAGCACATTGTCCTAGGAGATACTTTGGTATTTGTTAAGCAAAATTATGTAAGCCTTACTTTTTTTCTAGGAACTGGTAAAACGTCAACGTTAGTCCGCTACACTCAGCTACGGCCAAACATCAAGTTTCTGTTAGTGGTTTATAACAGGTAGGGCTATGTGAGTGGTTTATAACAGGTAGGGCTATGTGAATTGTTTATATCAGGTAGGGCTGTGTGAATGGTTTGTGACAGGTAGGGCTATGTTAGTGTTTAACAGGTAGGGCTATATGAGTGGTTTATAACAGGTAGGGCTATGTGAGTGTTTTATAACTGGTAGGGCTATGTGAATGGTTTATAACAGGTAGGGCTGTGTGAATGGTTTATAGCAGGTAGGGCTATGTGAATGGTTTATAACAGGTAGGGCTATGTGAGTGGTTTATAACAGGAAGGGCTGTATGAGTGGTTTATAACAGGTAGGGCTATTCTTGACTAATCAGGTTCTGTTTTACTAATAATCATCTTTATGAGGTGTATAATGTAGAAGTCAGGTTCAGAGTAAAAGATCTCAGAATATGTCAATTGGTAATCAGGTTCAGGGTAAAAAACCTCAGACCATGTCATTTGGTAATCAGGTTCAGGGTAAAAGATCTCAGAACATGTCAATTGGTAATCAGGTTCAGGGTAAAAGATCTGGCAATACATAATGTGGTAACCATGTTCAGAGAAAAGATATAGCAATCAGGTGCAGAATAAAAGATTGCACAGTATGTCATTTGGTAGTCAGATTCATTGTAAAAGATCACACAATATGTCATTTGGTAGTCAGATTCATTGTAAAAGATCACACAATATGTCATTTGGTAGTCAGATTGAATGTAAAAGATCTCACAATATGTCATTTGGTAGTCAGATTCAATGTAAAAGATCACACAGTATGTCATTTGGTAGTCAGATTCAACGTAAAAGATCTCACAATATGTCATTTGGTAGTCAGATTCAACGTAAAAGATCTCACAATATGTCATTTGGTAGTCAGATTCAACGTAAAAGATCTCACAATATGTCATTTGGTAGTCAGATTCAATGTAAAAGATCTCACAATAAGTCATTTGGTAGTCAGATTCATTGTAAAAGATCACACAGTATGTCATTTGGTAGTCAGATTCATTGTAAAAGATCACACAATATGTCATTTGGTAGTCAGATTCATTGTAAAAGATCACACAATGTGTCATTTGGTAGTCAGATTCAATGTAAAAGATCACACAATATGTCATTTGGTGGACAGATTCAATGTAAAAGATCACACAGTATGTCATTTGGTAGTCAGATTCAACGTAAAAGATCACACAGTATGTCATTTGGTAGTCAGATTCAAAGTAAAAGATCACACAGTATGTCATTTGGTAGTCAGATTCAATGTAAAAGATCACACAATACGTCATTTGGTAGTCAGATTCAATGTAAAAGATCACACAATATGTCATTTGGTAGTCAGATTCAACGTAAAAGATCTCACAATATGTCATTTGGTAGTCAGATTCATTGTAAAAGATCTCACAATGTGTCATTTGTTTGTCAGATTCAACGTAAAAGATCCCACAATATGTCATTTGTTTGTCAGATTCAATGTAAAAGATCTCACAATATGTCGTTTGGTAGTCAGATTCATTGTAAAAGATCACACAATATGTCATTTGGTAGTCAGATTCATTGTAAAAGATCTCACAATGTGTCATTTGTTTGTCAGATTCAACATAAAAGATCTCACAATATGACATTTGTTTGTCAGATTCAATGTAAAAGATCTCACAATATGTCATTTGGTAGTCAGATTCAATGTAAAAGATCACACAGTATGTCATTTGGTAGTCAGATTCAATGTAAAAGATCACACAGTATGTCATTTGGTAGTCAGATTCAATGTAAAAGATCACACAATATGTCATTTGGTAGACAGATTCAATGTAAAAGATCACACAGTATGTCATTTGGTAGACAGATTCAATGTAAAAGATCACACAGTATGTCATTTGGTAGACAGATTCAATGTAAAAGATCACACAATACATCATTTGGTAGTCAGATTCAATGTAAAAGATCTCACAATATGTCATTTGGTAGTCAGATTCAACGTAAAAGATCACACAATATGTCATTTGGTAGTCAGATTCATTGTAAAAGATCACACAATACAGGTGACTCTCGATGGCTCGAACTCCGATCTCTCGAAGTTCTCGATCTCTCGAAGTGAACCTCCGGTCCCGTTTTTTTCTTCTATATAACTAAGCAAATTTACTTCCTATCTCTCGAACTTCCGATCTCTCGAAGTTCTCTATCTCTCGAACCAAGACCTGGGTCCCGTTACACACATTTCATTGTTTTTTACTCTCTATCTCTCGAAGTTTTGATTGCGCGTGTGCACACGCCGATCAAGCATAAAATTAATGCAGCTTAGACTTACCTGGATAACAGTGAACCCCTCGGGCTGGCATGGAGGTGTTAATTGGGTGTTTACATAGATGACACAATACCTGTGAGCATCCGAGTGTTGATATAATTAATTGGTTACAATTGGTAAACTATAAACGAATTGCTTCACAACTTATTTTGACTTGACAGCGAGACGATAATTTTTAGAAAATAATTTAAGAGACGTGTCAATAATTTTTCATAGATTATGAAGTTTTATTAGAGTTTACATAACCCAGCATGACAAACACTACACAAGAAATCCTATCTGAAGAATTGAATACCCATTTAATACGAGAAATCTGTTGAAGGAGCCGATGAAGCCCTGGGGGTAGCCACGCCGACGATTGCTATTCAGGTTTCATGTAATTATGAAATGAGAACAAATAAATACTGAAACTTAAAGAGATCGTTTTATTTATTCAAAATACGATCATTGTTGTTGAAATCAAGTGAATTACCTGTAAAATACGAATGAAAACGTGCAACGACATTATCAACATATACTTCCGGTATTTATAATAGTAGAACAATGATGATCGGAACAGAAAATTCCGGATTTTATTCACTTTCTATCTCTCGAACCCCTCGATCTCTCGAACTTTTCTTGCGGTCCCTTGAACTTCGAGAGATCGAGAGTCACCTGTATGTCATTTGGTAGTCAAATTCAATGTAAAAGATCACACAACATGTCATTTGGTAGTCAGATTCAATGTAAAAGATCTCGCAATATGTCATTTGGTAGTCAGATTCAACGTAAAAGATCTCGCAATATGTCATTTGGTAGTCAGATTCAACGTAAAAGATCTCGCAATATGTCATTTGGTAGTCAGATTCATTGTAAAAGATCACTCAATATGTCTTTTGGTAGTCAGATTCATTGTAAAAGATCACACAATATGTCATTTGGTAGTCAGATTCAATGTAAAAGATCACACAGTATGTCATTTGGTAGTCAGATTCAACGTAAAAGATCTCACAATATGTCATTTAGTAGTCAGATTCAATGTAAAAGATCTCACAATATGTCATTTGGTAGTCAGATTCATTGTAAAAGATCACACAGTATGTCATTTGGTAGTCAGATTCATTGTAAAAGATCACACAATATGTCATTTGGTAGTCAGATTCATTGTAAAAGATCACACAATGTGTCATTTGGTAGTCAGATTCAATGTAAAAGATCACACAATATGTCATTTGGTGGACAGATTCAATGTAAAAGATCACACAGTATGTCATTTGGTAGTCAGATTCAACGTAAAAGATCACACAGTATGTCATTTGGTAGTCAGATTCAAAGTAAAAGATCACACAGTATGTCATTTGGTAGTCAGATTCAATGTAAAAGATCACACAATACGTCATTTGGTAGTCAGATTCAATGTAAAAGATCACACAATATGTCATTTGGTAGTCAGATTCAACGTAAAAGATCTCACAATATGTCATTTGGTAGTCAGATTCATTGTAAAAGATCTCACAATGTGTCATTTGTTTGTCAGATTCAACGTAAAAGATCCCACAATATGTCATTTGTTTGTCAGATTCAATGTAAAAGATCTCACAATATGTCGTTTGGTAGTCAGATTCATTGTAAAAGATCACACAATATGTCATTTGGTAGTCAGATTCATTGTAAAAGATCTCACAATGTGTCATTTGTTTGTCAGATTCAACATAAAAGATCTCACAATATGACATTTGTTTGTCAGATTCAATGTAAAAGATCTCACAATATGTCATTTGGTAGTCAGATTCAATGTAAAAGATCACACAGTATGTCATTTGGTAGTCAGATTCAATGTAAAAGATCACACAGTATGTCATTTGGTAGTCAGATTCAATGTAAAAGATCACACAATATGTCATTTGGTAGACAGATTCAATGTAAAAGATCACACAGTATGTCATTTGGTAGACAGATTCAATGTAAAAGATCACACAGTATGTCATTTGGTAGACAGATTCAATGTAAAAGATCACACAATACATCATTTGGTAGTCAGATTCAATGTAAAAGATCTCACAATATGTCATTTGGTAGTCAGATTCATTGTAAAAGATCACACAATATGTCATTTGTTTGTCAGATTCATTGTAAAAGATCACACAATATGTCATTTGGTAGTCAGATTCATTGTAAAAGATCTCACAATATGTCATTTGGTAGTCAGATTCAATGTAAAAGATCACACAGTATGTCATTTGGTAGTCAGATTCAATGTAAAAGATCACACAGTATGTCATTTGGTAGTCAGATTCAATGTAAAAGATCTTGCAATATGTCATTTGGTAGTCAGATTCAATGTAAAAGATCACACAGTATGTCATTTGGTAGTCAGATTCATTGTAAAAGATCTCACAATATGTCATTTGGTAGTCAGATTCATTGTAAAAGATCTCACAATATGTCATTTGGTAGTCAAATTCAATGTAAAAGATCACACAATATGTCATTTGTTTGTCAGATTCATTGTAAAAGATCTCACAATATGTCATTTGGTAGTCAGATTCATTGTAAAAGATCACACAATATGTCATTTGGTAGACAGATTCAATGTAAAGGATCACACAATACATCATTTGGTAGTCAGATTCAATGTAAAAGATCTCACAATATGTCATTTCAGTGTTCCAGCTAGGATCTGAAAATGGAGAGGTGCAAGAGAAGGGCACTTTTTTTGCGACTTACCGTTGTCGCGAACTTTTGTTACATAGTCGTATCTCATTACTTCACCCTCATAATAATAAACCCCTACAAATATTATTTATTTATTTTACCTTGTTACTGAACTCCTTCAAATATTATTAATTTATTTAACCTTATTGATTTGAAAGATGCATAAACATATACTAATTTATAGCTAGTATGTAAAGATGTAAAAAAGAATTTTAAAGATCATCTTAGGATAAATGTTACTTTTCTTTCTCTTTTTAAATCATCTTCTATTCTTGATTCCTATTTTCAAGAATAGCACCACAATTCATATAAACTGAGCTGGTGTCTCATATTATTGCAGTACATGTAGGTCTATACATGTACTAGAGCTAAATGAGTATGTATGCATGTTTCTGGCAAATGTATTAAATAGATTCAGTATTTGTAGGTTATATTGCTTGTTTTTTTTTTTTTCAAATTGATTACGTTGGTGGCAGATAATTAATTAACTGAATTAATTTTAAACTTCTGCAATGAAATGGAACACAATTACATATTATCTGTAATGTTTAAAAAATCCTTTCAGAGTGTCAAGAATCCTAATTAAGGAGAAAATAATTGAAAAATTTTATACTTGTTTCTGTGCTATTTGGATATTAAATTCCTTCATTTTTCAGAAAAAAGGTCAACAATTTATAATTAGTATTAAAGGTCAAAGTTAATGCTACTTTCACTTTCGTGATTTATTTTTAGAACGCTATAAGACAAGACTATTGTTTTATATTAAAACAGATAGCTTGAACATAATCAAAGTATTTCAGCTTTTAACCCCTATTCAGACTGTCAAGTAATCAAAGTAATTACCTAATCACCTGTAATTGAAAAAGGGCACCTGTATAGTACATAGGTACCGTAATGTGAGTTTCATTACGTAATCGCCCGTGGCAGGAGGTGTGAACTGCTGATTGTCTTTAGGTAATCTACTTTAGAACACACTAATTATTCTAATGAGGGAAAAGGACAATCAGAATGTTACAAGACACTAATAGGGGACACAGGGGCAGCTGTGGGGGCAGAGGGGCGCACTGATTTGAGGGCGGGGCGGGGCGCGGCTCCCCTCCATTTCACCCTAGCTGGAACACTGCATTTGGTAGTCAGATTCATTGTAAAAGATCACACAGTATGTCATTTGGTAGTCAGATTCATTGTAAAAGATCTCACAATATGTCATTTGGTAGTCAGATTCATTGTAAAAGATCTCACAATATGTCATTTGGTAGTCAGATTCAATGTAAAAGATCTCACAATATGTCATTTGGTAGACAGATTCATTGTAAAAGATCTCACAATATGTCATTTGGTAGACAGATTCAATGTAAAAGATCTCACAATATGTCATTTGGTAGTCAGATTCATTGTAAAGATTCATTGTAAAAGATCACACAATATGTCATTTGGTAGTCAGATTCATTGTAAAAGATCACACAGTATGTCATTTGGTAGTCAGATTCATTGTAAAAGATCTCACAATATGTCATTTGGTAGTCAGATTCATTGTAAAAGATCACACAATAAGTACATGTATTTTGGTAATCAGCTTCAGAATAAAGGAATGCACAATATTTTATGTAGTTGTGAAATAACATAAAAAATATACAACATTTTCATTATAATGCATTGTGGCATGTTCAGTCAGGTTTACAATGCAAAAATACTACTTAAAATGGTTTAAGTTTTTGTGACTTCTCAGTAGATGTTCATATTACATGTTCATACATTATGTGCCTCTATTTAAGGTGACTTTGAATGTATTGTATTTCTGTAGTTAATGGCAAGACAGTTTAACAGTAAACTGATGCAAAAAATTTGTATGCATACAGAGCAAGTCTGATACCACATTTGTAGATGACTTATATTTATTTTACTTTAATAATAAAACATGAATACTATAGAATTATTTTATTATGTTTAGGTCTGTTTGTGATCATGCCAAAACAATATTTCCTAAAAATGTAGAGTGCCAGACTGGACATTCATTAGCTTTCAAAGCAGTGGGAAGAAAGTAAGGAAAATTTTGTTTTCTTGAAGATCTAATCATTTTAGACACTGATCATTTAACATGTTGATAGGACAAAAATGTTCCTTGAACATTATTCCTTAAATTTCAGGTACAAAGATGCCAATAAGCTACGTGATCTGTCAGTGTATGCAATTACTCAAATTCTGCCATCACGAAAGGGAGACAACCTGTTCATCCGAGCCAAACTTGTACAGGACACCTTGAAGACATTCTTTTCCTCTGCGGACCAGAACATCTCCCTGGAGCATGTCCCAACCTACAGCACGAATGACAAAGGAGGGAGAATCATAATTGATCCAGATAAAAGGCAGGTAAGTAGGTCACAGGGGAAAAAGAGTGACGGTGGTAGGAATCTTTTTTTAATGAGGTGTTTGAAATTTATAAGTAGATTTCAATGATCTGCTGGGCTTATGGTCTATTTATTTCACGTACTAAATGTGAACTGTAGATCACCAAATTTTCATGATGCATTATTTTCGCAAGATACTTATTGGGTATTAATAAGCGAGTCAAAATTTTCATGAATTTTGAGAATTGTTTCATGTAATCTTTTATAGTACAAATTTTCACGATCAGAAGGTATTGCATAATTAGGTTAAAATAAAATTAAAAAGTGATTTACAGTTTTTTAAATAAAAACGAACAGCTGGGTAGATGATTGTTTATTTTTGCCTGATGCCAGGGTTATGTTAATGATGCCAAGTATCTCTGGGAACGTATGAAGGATCTGAGAAATAAGGAAGTACCTATGCCCCATGATGGCTATCTGAAGCTGTATCAGTTATACCGGCCCCAGCTCCGGAACTACAACTGTATCCTGATAGACGAAGCTCAGGATCTCACACCAGGTGATGCTTCGTCTTTTTTTGAATATAAACCTATTTTCCTTGCAATTCTAATGAGGATACTGTAGATAATATTCAGAAGAAAATAATCACTGACGTCAGAATACTGGAATACAGTTTTAGAGTTATTTAACAAACAATTGCTCCTGGAGCACTGCTCCAAAAATTAACAAGATGCTGCACATATTTTTTCACATGTAAAGATAGCATTTAGCTGCTACATTTGATTAAGAAGTAGAATACTGTAAATGTATAATATTTAGCATGTACAATATTTGGCAGATACTGATATTTCAACAAATTAGTGTAAATTTGATTAAGTGCATAATTGAATGTGTTAGATATAAATATATGCACTCCAGACATTTAGGAATGGATGTACTTGATTTAGGGGAAATTGTGTACCTATGGTTTTTAGCTCACCTGAGCCGAAGGCTCAAGTGAGCTTTTCTGATCACTTTTTGTCCGGCGTCCGTCTGTCTGTCTGTCTGTAAACTTTTAACATTTTCGACTTCTTCTCAAGAACCACTGGGCCAATTTCAACCAAACTTGCCACAAAGTATCCTTGGGTGAAGGGGATTCAAGTTTTTTCAAATGAAGGGCCACACCCTCTTTCAAGGGGAGATAATAAAGAATTAGTGAAAAATTAATAGCATCTTTTAAAAATCTTATTCTCAAGAACCACAGGGCCAGGAAAGATGAAACTCATGTGGAAGCATCCTCAGGTAGTGTAGATTCAAGTTTGTTCAAATCATGACCCCCGGGGTTAGGGTGGGGCCACAATGGAGGATCAAAGTTTTACATAGTGATATATAGGAAAAATCTTTAAAAATCTTCTTCTCAAGAACAGCAAAGCCTTGATGAGTCATTTTTATATGGAAGCATCCTCAGGTTGTGTAGATTCAAGTTTGTTCAAATCATGACCCCCAGGAGTAGGGCGGGGCCACAATGGAGGATCAAAGTTTTACATAGAAATATATAGGAAAAACCTTTAAAAATCTTCTTCTCAAGAACAGCAAAGACATGATGGGTCATATTTATATGGAAGCATCCTCAGGTAGTGTAGATTCAATTTTTTTCAAATCATGACCCTGGGGGTAGGGCGGGGCCACAATGGAGGATCAAAGTTTTACATAGTGATATATAGGAAAAATCTTTAAAAATCTTCTTCTCAAGAACAGCAAAGACATGATGAGTCATATTTATATGGAAGCATCCTCAGATAGTGTAGATTCAAGTTTGTTCAAATCATGATCCCAGGGGGGAGGGTGGGGCCACAATGGAGGATCAAAGTTTTAGATAGAAATATATAGGAAAAATCTTTAAAAATCTTCTTCTCAAGAACAGCAAAGCCATGATGAGTCATATTTATATGGAAGCATCCTCAGATAGTGTAGATTCAAGTTTTATCAAATCATGATCCCAGGGGGAGGGTGGGGCCACAATGGAGGATCAAAGTTCTACTTAGAAATATAAAGGAAAAATCTATAAAAATCTTCTTCTCAAGAATAGCAAAGCCATGATGAATCATATTTATATGGAAGCATCCTCAGGTAGTGTAGATTCAAGTTTGTTCAAATCATGACCCCCGGGGATAGGGTCGGGCCACAATGGGGGATCGAAAATTTTACATAGGAACATATAGGAAAATATCTTTTTCTCAAGAACTGAAAATCATGTTTAGTCATTTTGATATGAAAAACATGCTCAGGTAGTGTAAATTCAATTTTGTTCAAATGATGACCCCCGGGGGTAGGGTGGGGCCCAGTGGGGGGTCAAAAGTTTTACATAAGAACATATAGAAAAAATATTTCTTCTCAAGAACAGAAAAGCTATGTTTAGTTATATTGATATGGAAGCATGCTCAGGTAGTGTAGATTCAAGTTTGTTCAAATGATGACCCCTGGCAGGAGCCACAATGGGGGATCAAATTTTTACAAAGGAATATATGGCAAAATTTTTAAAAAATCTTCTCAAGTACAACAAAGCCATTTGTTATATTGACATGGAAGCATCATCAGGTAGTTAAAAATTCAACCCCCCCCCCCCCCCCTCGGTAATCTTTTTAATACCGAACTGATTTGTGCTTTTGCCTAGCCAGTGTGCTCAGGTGAGCGATGTGGCCCATGGGCCTCTTGTTTTGCTGTGTATAGATTAACACAACTGTATATTTTCCACACATTTGAATATGAAAGATTATGAGAGATATAAATTTTGGTTTGTGCTATTTTTGACAAAGCCAAGATCCTGTCATTGTTTACAGCTTTGTCTGACCTCCTCCTGGGACAACAACAGGCCAAGATACTGGTGGGAGACCCCCACCAACAAATCTACTCCTTCCGAGGGGCTGTCAATGCTCTACACAGGATCAGTGCGTCAGTCATCTTCTACCTGACTCAGGTAAGTCATATCTAGGACAATGGGTTTGTGAGGACCTGAGGTAAGCAATACAAGGTTGTGCAGGGGCCAAAGGAATCTTGTTTCTTTATTCATCACGCAGGTAGGGCCTTTGTAAATGCTGCAAAAGCAACCATCCAGTGATTCAATCAAGCTTGAAATACAAGGGAAATTGCTGACAAGTTGTAGATAAATGTAAAAAAAAACCCAACAACTATAAAATGTAAGTAATGTGTAATTTTAACATCTTAGGGCAATTAATGATAACAACTTCAGTAAATGACTGATATATCCCACCAGGATACCTCATAGGGGAAGATTTGTGGCCATGCACTTCTTTTCCTTATACCAGTATTGATCATCTAAAATAAAACATGTTGTATTTTCTTTCTAAATATACTTCAGTAGTGAATTCATAATTTAAAAACTATATGCGGTATATGCATATTTTTGCCCCCACAAAAGTCATATTTTGAAAATTTCTTGAAATGTGATAAATTGCATATATTGTATGAGAAATCTAAATTAACAAAAAATAAAATACTGTATAAGCAGAATTTTTAGCGAGGATTTAATTTTGGCATTATTAGCGAGGGTGCTGAGATTGAATATTGCTAACAATTTATTGCGTTTTATTTGTAATAGCTTCTTCAGTGAGCATTTTAAAATTGTTAAAATTACTTCTCACTTAAAATAAAATACCAATTTTTAAGGACAAATCACTAAATTTGCGTCTCACTAAAATTTCAACTTATACAGTACTTTTAAAGTAGGTTATTGACAATTTTTATTTCTATGACGTCGCAAACTATTCAGATTTTGTGTTATTTTTCAGAAAGAGGAAAAATGGACAAAATTTGTTCAATTTTTACTACAAAATTTAAAGAGCACAGGCCTGCTCCACAACAATATTTACGTATTTCATTGATACATGTATTATCATTCTACACATTATATCAAAATATTGAGTTGGAGCAGACCTGTGCTCCATGACTTTTACTCAAAATATCAATGAAATATACACCTTTTTCTGAATAAATCATGGAAAATTTGATTTACATCATTTTCCTAAAGTCATATCTAACATACAATACCGACCAGACACAACCTAACAGAAAGCGAACCCAGAGCGCACCCCGGGTTCGCTCTCTGGGTTCGCTTCGGGTTCGCTTGGGGTCCGCTAGTGCTGACCCCGAGCGAACTCGGGGCGCACCCGTAGCGAACCCGCAGCGAACCCAGAGCGAACGCGGAAAGCGAACCCCAAATTCAGTAGCGGTCCCAGAAAGCGAACGCGCGTTTGGTATTGCGTAACAGAGCTGTCAATCAGGATTATCGAATAACTCATCAGCGCTTCGACCAATCAACATGCCGAACAGGTCTGTCAATCAGGAAAAGTGATAAAATGCGTTGACCTTCAGTGCATCGACCAGTCAACATGCCAGTTTATAATCTAAACATTGTACAAGCAAAGCGTGTGAATGTACAGTCTAAAAATATTATTAATATGATTTTTAAACCTGATTTTACATTTATATACTTTAATTCTCCAGACAACATGCAATATTTACACATCTATTTTCATTATTTTTTATTTTTAAAATCTATTGATACATTATATATTTTTATTTTCCAGGTAGCATGTTACATGTATAGTTAAATATTTATTTTCTTTATGTTTTTAAAATCCATTAATATATAAATATATATTGCGTAAATTAATATATAAATATATATTGCGTAAATTTATCAGACAATAAGTACTTTAATTTATAATAGAAAAAAGGAAGATAATAATGGTTATAACATATGTTACTAAGAAAAAAAAGAAAAAAAATGGTCTTCGATAAATTATAGAATTTTATTATCTCAAGATACAGTATAAGAACATTAGTTTAAGAACATTTAGTATAAGAACATGTACGTGCTTTAATTTAATTATTCTTATTAATTATTTCAGTTTACATGCACGTTTTAATTTATCCAGATCAACTTCGAAATTATCGATCTTAATAATTGATCATGAAAAAAAATTAAATGTACATTGTACAGAATAAATTTAATGTGCATTATGTCAATACATAAATTGGAGGAAAAAAAAATCTCATTTAACTATTATGATATTTTTTTAAATTAATCTTTCACCAAAATTTAATAAATAGCTTGATTTAAATACATGTACATAGGAAAAGATTATTTTGTCAATTTTAATTATCCTACATGTAGACCTTACATTGTATGTTTTTGAATTTTTGTAACTACTTGCAAGTCAGTTCAAAAAAAAAAAACGCAAAAATGCTTATCACTTTCCTTCGCGTCGATATGTATATACAGGTTTACATGTTCACGAACCTCTTACATGTACTACATGTAATTTTCGAAATACTTTACATGAACATAAAAAATATACTAGACGGGTACGTTTTGTACTTGTGCATGAAAAGTACATGTAATTCCAACATTAGTAAATTGAACTTGCAAAGATACCTTAATACGAAAACGTAAATATATTTTTTCATTACATAGGTACCTGTATTTGAACTTTGTAATTGTCATAATTATTTAATTTCAACACTTTAATAATTGCAGTTTCAAAGTGAAGCCAAGGTCATCACGTATCGGTAATCATCCACCTGTTTCAAAAATATTGCGGGTATTAAGAGCAATTGCTGTGGGTTTTTTTAATTGACACTTGCTAGCTGGATGTATACTGTCTCCATGGTCACGGTATACCTGAGTATATACTCCCCCTACATTCGATGCCCCTTAAGTTACATGTACCTCGTCTGGGCACGTTATCAATGAGAAATACAATTATTATTCCTTTTTTTTTTTGATTTTTGAATTTGGAAACGTCATAGTTCTTTGGTACGTTGCATTAAGAGTACATGTTCATGCATGTAATTTGCTGCAACCTGAATGCTGAAAATCAGTAAAATAGCTTTACGAGAGACAGAGAGAGAAACAGAGGGAGAGAGAGAGAGAGAGAAAACACTGTATATTATTTGAAATTAAAATCGCTACAACCGGCCCATAGAAAACAGTTCAAGTACGGAGAGGGGTGGGGGGGCTCATCGAAATAAAACAATAATAAAAAAAAAACAAACATCGGGCGTTATTATCTTAATTTCATCTACTTAATCATGCGAGTTTACAGTTATTGAATTCTTGTTTTGTTTGTTTTCTTTCTTGTATTTATTTATTTTTAAACATTTAGAATTTTGTTTGTTAACATGCCGCTCCAGTATGTACATGTATGTAGTGGGGCGGGGGATCATGAACCAGTAAGGAACACAAACTATTCAAGTGATCATTTACATGTATTTGAAAACAACTTAAAAAAATAAATATATATATTCTTATCAGTGGACCAGTTATTAGTTTTTGTTTGTTTGTTTTGGTTTTTTGATTGTTGTTGGTTTTTTTATAAGTCTTCCGTTAAACTCGCCTTATAAAACAATGATTTATAGCATGGAAGTAAATTATAAATGATTTGTAAAACGAAACTCAAGTTACACTGTATGAGAATTTTTAGTGATTATCACGACCTATACATATACATGTAATGGACGACAACCTATAGCTTAAATATAAACTGCTAAATATGAAAACTTAGCATTTTACGTGTACAGTATGTCACAGCTATTTTATAGATAAGATCTTAATTCAGTTGTTTGTCTTTCAAACATTTAAATTACGATTTAGCAATTGCAATTACAATTGGAAGTTCAAACTTATTTTAAAACGCATGAATAATATTTAATTATAAACAAATGAATTTGAAAGCTTTTTTTATTAAGATACTCTTATCAAATTCACTCCATCCGATACATCGAAAATAAATTTAACACCTTTTCTTTTTTTTTCTTTCGAGATATACTTAGCTTTTAAGTAAAGAAAAATAAAGGTGATAATTCTACGTCGAATGTACGGTGAAATTCTTGAAAAATTATCAACGTTCTCCATATTGTCACTTACATGTACATGTTTCGATCGCCATTAAAACAGTAATGATCGATTTCACCACTGTATTTGGAATATACAAGGGGCGGGGCTTACTGGCGGCAAGATTAAAGCGGGGTCCGCTTCACGCATGAGTGCGTAAAGCGAACCCGGAAAGCGAACGCCGGGTTCGCTCTAGCGGACCCAGAGCTGACCCCGAGCGAACGCAGAGCGAACCCGAAGCGCACCCAGAGCGGTCCCAAATTTTCTGAAAGCGAACCCGCAGCGGACCCCGAGCGAACCCAGGAAGCGAACCCGGGGTGCGCTTTGGGTTCGCTCTGGTGTTAGGTTGTGTCCGGTCGGTACTGTATGGTGTCATGGCTTATGAAAATATTCAGTGCTTTGAAGTCTGCAGATATCCCCCTGTTTTAGAACATTATTATATATTTCTCTGCAAAGTTTGATTTTGGGGGTAAATATTGGCCATAACCGAATATAGTCCTTTTTCTAGGAATACAAAATAATATGACTGAAGAATTGATGACGCAATGTTTCAATAAGTGAAATTACATTTGTAGAGCCAGAGGTCTCAATTTTTAAAGTGAATATCCATAGCAGTACTTCATTTGGTCAGTCGGAACTTTGAGCGTCACAGGTGTATATGCATTAGGTTTTGATTCTAGATACAGATTTACTTATTTTAATCCTTAATTAAAGGAATACATCCAAGCTCTGTTTCCAGCACTTGTTTAAATGGCTTGTCAATATCTGGCTGATAATATAATAGATTATAAGTCATTTGAAATGGATTAGATGACTCATAAAGGAAACTGATCAATACATTCAGTCACTAGATTGCTGTATTTGCACTGATGTTGAAAAGTTATATTGTTGGATTTACCTTGACCTTACATAAGTAATTTAGGGTTATATGGTGATATGGTTTTTGGCACAGGTAAGTAATACAGTTTTTGAGGTATCATTGGATTTACTATTACCTCAACAGGTCAGAAAATTTTTACAGGCTAGAAGGCATACATTGCTACCTCATAAAATATTTCATCAAAAGATGTAATTAACAGGTGGCAATAGGTATTTCCTCATGCAGGTATACAGGAATGTATACAATGCAAGTACTATTATTATTTGTAATAATAGGAGAAAATTTTTTGAAATGAATTGGATCACATTTATCTTGCAATGTGAAGTCACTTGGTGGTATTTTTTTTTAAGTCTTTCCGCTTTGGCCCAGAGATAGCTGAGGTGGCAGCTTGCTGTATTGAAGAGCTTAAACATGAGAAAAAAACATTGGTGGGCAACGGAACTCCTTGTAAGTATAACAAACATGGTAACAAGTACAACAAACATGGTAAAAAGTACAACAAACATGGTAAAAAGTACAACAAATGCGGTATAAAGTACAACAAACATGGATAAAAGTACAACAAACATGGTATAAAGTACAACAAACATGGTAAAAAGTACAACAAACATGGTAACAAGTACAACAAATGCGGTATAAAGTACAACAAACATGGTAACAAGTACAACAAACATGGTATAAAGTACAACAAACATGGTAAAAAGTACAACAAACATGGTAACAAGTACAACAAACATGGTAACGAGTACAACAATCATGGTATAAAGTACAACAAACATGGTAACAAGTACAACAAACATGGTAAAAAGTACAACAAACACGGTATAAAGTACAACAAACATGGTAAAAAGTACAACAAACATGGTAACAAGTAACCTTGAAGGTTTTTTCATTCCTTATATCAAGTTTTCTAATAGATTATAGCAAATAAAAATCTACACTTAGAGCACATGTATGTATATAACCTTATTTCTCCATCCACATTGATGTCTTACAAGTATACACCTGAAGCAGGGTTGTTAAAAGCAAGTAGCTTCTAAAAACATGGCTGCTAGAACTATTTTAAATGTACTTCTACATACATGTGTGTTAATTAGATTACATTTGGATGTTAGTATTAGATTTTTCTTGTATTATTTTGTTGACAGGCAATGTATATGGAGAAGTTAGTGGACAGATAGCAGTGCTGTGTCGTTGTAACTTTACCGTGTTTTCTGAAGCCGTGAAGAAATGCTGTTATGCTGGAGAAACCAACATTAAAGTGGCTTTTGTTGGGGTAGGAGTGATAATTTCTAACTCTGACTTAGTAAATCTATATTACACCTACAGACTGCTGTTTTATGATATTTAATCAATGGTTCTTGTATGTTTTTGATAGGGAACTGATGGCTTTGGTTTTCCAATGTTACAAGATCTCTATACTCTCATGCTGTCTCCTGAAGAAAGAGCTAAACGTAAGGATTCCAAAATTAAATTAAATGAATTTTTAACAAGTATTTAATAATTTCATACTGCAAATGTTAATCATAAGGTACTTACTCTTATGATAATTAAATTGTTAGTTTGTTACAACCCCTCTCTGAATGTTATGAACTAATGTAATTTTTTTGTTTATTTTTCTCAACACTATGAAATTGCACCTTCTTAATTTTTAGTACCAGCACTATAGTCTTCCTTTTTAGAGTTGTCAGAATGACATTTGCCAGTTTTATTGGTCATTTTAGTAAATTTTTGTATTTAGTTTGCTATCTACTGGTAGTCAGCTGGTACACATATTTCTACTCTCAGAACAAAAAGAGCCTGCATGCTAATGAGCAGGGCCATTTTCTGGAAAAAAAAAAAAACTTTTTGAGTTTGACCAGTATATCATACTGCGTCCTTTTTTGTTAGAGCATTATTAAGCTGACTGTGATGAATTTATTTTCAGAAAACAGAGTAATTGAGAACAAGCTAGTGAAGAAGTTCAGTAGTTTTGCTGAGTTTGAGCAATTTGCAACAAAGACCAATGATGTGGAACTCTTGGGGAAAATTAGAATTGTTAAAACATACCACCATAACCTTCCTGTCACTATTCGCAAAATCCTTGCCCATACCGTCAGAGATCTCAATATTGCTGGTAAAAAGTTTTTAATAAATCATATTAATAATCAAATTATTAGATATTATTAACAGAGGCCTAAAAATATGCATGACTTACATGTACATAATAAACAAAAAAGTTAAAACAGTGTTCTTGGAAATTTTGGTTTTATTTTTTGTCATTTTTGTACAAATTACTTCTCACAGATGTAAATAGATATCTAGGTACTTCAGAGTTTAGTTATTTTATCATCTTAACAATTTTGAATTTGCTCATTGGGGATAAAACAGGCAAACATGAGAAAAAAAGGGTGAGACAAAATTCCTTAGTTTACAGTAATAAATTGCTTTGGAAAATTGAAGTATTGATACCTGTTAAATAGAAATGTAAATCTACAGGTATGCTTAGTATATATTTATTATTGAATGGGCTTTCCTTATTATGTTTTATAGACATGATCTTCAGTACAGTTCACAAAGCTAAGGGTCTGGAGTTTAACACGGTCAGACTGACTGATGATTTCAATGTAGGACAGGATGTACCAGGGATAATTAGTAAGTCACTCCATACTATCCTGATGATGAATCCAGTATTAACATTTCCCTTTTTTCAATATTAAAAAAAAAGTTTAGAAGCATTATTAGAAGAAAAATTATATCAGTACATTTTATATGATTTTTGTGTGTAATAATTTTATTGAAACTGTAAGGATATGAAGTACACGTATTGTTATTTTCTGTCTATAGGAACAGTGCCGGTCAGTGCTGATGAGTATAACCTACTTTATGTTGCTGTAAGCAGAGCCAAACGGTCACTTCTGATGACCCCCACTCTGGTGGATCTCATGAAGAAGGCAGGGGTAAGACATCAACACAAACTTAAAAAAGTTGTCAACAAAAATGTAAAAAATGTCTGAAAAGAACCAGTAGTTGTGAATTGGAATTTAAGACTCATAAGAAAAAAAGCATTCATTTGGAAGTTTGTGGAACATTAGTTCTGTATCTATCACGCATGGTGTTAATTATTTTTTAGCATTTTCACAGTTAATATCACAAAAAAATGGTGAACCTCAAGGTGAAATTTAAGTATTGTGTTTATAGTTGTAAAAAAATATTATGAAAAAACTATTTTTATTATTGCAAATTTTAGCAACCTGTCTGAGAATTGTTATTGCCAAAAATTAGTTGGGAGCAGTAAAAACATCTTGTCATTTTCCAGGAGCGATATGAGTTTCCTGTGCTAAGTTCCCATTTGGCTAACTCTGGTGTGGTGATGAAATGTAAAGAGACTGATGAAGAGTTCTCTCCCTTTGCTCTAACTCTTCAGAAAAAGACAATAGTTACAGTAAGTCTTCAGCTTTTTATTATGGTCAGAAGTGACTTCAGGTTGTAGTGGCTAAGTATTTTAGCTCCACATACAGCTTTAATTTTTAACAATGTACAAGCCAAGCAATACATAGGGAATATTTGATGCTAAATCAAAGATGAGGACATGAAACACAAACATAAAATGGGGTTGTTTTCTCACTCTTAGGGAATTAAATGTTTATGTATAGTATACATGTACCCTTGATTTTTGATTTTGCCTCACTTTGTACAGAAAATTATATTTTACGGAGACATTTTTATCAAATATCTGACACTTAGTGGCTAGTTGTGTGGTCCATTCAATAGAGTTAGCACTTACTAACTAAGATAACCACTACAATCTGAATGCAGTCTTGGTATGGTGCAGTTAAACACAAAGGCATTATTTGTATCATCTCACAAAAGTGGCTGTTTAAAATATCTTGGAGATAAATCATCTCACAAAGCAGCTGTTTAAAATAATTTGTAGATACATACAATAAATAAGTAACATACAGTGTATGCCAGATATTTATTAGTAACTTTGCTTATCATTTGCTCCTAGAGTGATGGAGAGGTGTTGGAGGGAGGGTTGTATGGACCAAAGATTTTAAAAGAGGAGAGTCACCAGTTCAGTGAATTACTAGGGGACCCCAACCATCAGGAAACACAGGCAGAGGAGGTGTCATTTGAGAATGGGGAACTTGGCATTATAATAGATATTGAAGACTATTTATAGGGCATTTTTCAAGTTTGATGACTGATAGGAATCTATGTGAAAAGGAAAATAAGCAGATTTAATGTTTCAGAATCCATGAAACATGAAGGCAAGGATAAATGGGCAAGTCGATGAAGAACTGAACTGAACTGAAGAACTGAAGTCGATGGAATGAACTGCAGGGTTCCCAATAAGAGAAGAGTAATGTCTCTTGTCCTTGTACTATTTTCAAACTGAGTACAAGTGATGATGTATAATAGTGATGAGAAATAACTTTTTAAAGAAGGTGCTGAGAAACTAAAACTGAGAAACCAATATACAGTGATGCAGTTTTAGTTTAACCTACCCGGTTCTTTATTTGTTAGTTGTACATTTCATACATCTTGTCCATTATCACTGGTCATTACCATCACTGATATTTCTGGACCAAACCTTGTCCATGGTGTAACTGTATGTGCATGTGCCTGTGCCAGTATTTTTTGGAAATAATAATTTTGTAGCATTTTTTTTCTTTATTTCAATAGATTTATAAGAATATTCAGTTTGGTATAGATACGACAATGAAGTGATGTGCATTGAAGTGGCAAAATTTTCCTTTTGAATGAAATGAGCATCCCTTTGAACAGTGGTTGTTACATAATGACACACCAATTTCTTTAGCAAGGAGAAAACAGTATATTGTAGGGGCTAGTAGGTGGGGAAACACTGAGAGAGAGAGAGAGAGAGAGAGAGAGTCTTGGATTGATGTAAATTTTCACAGATGCTTCATTCGAATAGTTATTAAAGAGGTATTCTATAAACACAATGTACAATAGCCAATCAGATCGGCAGGTTACATTAACAACACTGGGTAAACGTGTTTTATCGATACACATGTTGTTGCAACTTCAATAGACATGGTAATACATACATGTCAAGTAATTAAGTACATATCCGTTGCAAAACAAATTTTTAAGAAGGGGGGAATCTCTCACACACACACTCTCTCTCCCCCTTCATAAAATCTCAATTTAGATGTGGATTGCCATCTAGGGTTTCTATTAAGTGGATCAGAAATCCTTGGCTAGCGAAGATGAACAGGCCAAGGATTGTGAGAAGAGTATCGAATCAGAAACTCTTGGCTAGCGAATCAAAAACTCTTGGCGAGCGAAGATGTCAATTTCATTTTTAAAATTAGTTTAATTACTTGGCGACGATCAGAATTATTATGAATACTTTATCCTCTCTAGGGATACATGTTTATGTCGATTTTTTAAAACTCTTTTCGCTTTTTCAAAAATTACAGCATACTCATCTTTTGTCAATGTCCTTGCTAATGAATTGATATACTGTATAGATTATGGTAATCCACGTGTAATTGAACTTTATAATCCTCCATAATCTTAATACACAGATTAACATGTATACCTGTATAAATTGAGTCAAGATAAATATGAAACGAAATACAAACTAAATAATATGACAATAATAAAGAATTTTAGGATTATTTTAACTAAATCTCAAGCGGTCTTCCTTCCCGAACAAAGTGTGGAAGGAATTGTGCAGTTTAACATCGTTGAGAAGTTCGAAACTACGGGTAAGCGTCTCCATCTCTCTATTCTTCCCAGCTCTAAGTAGACTAGTTTTCTGATGTACTTGTGCCTCGATTTTTAGGCGTGTTCTTGGAGGTGACGGGCCTCTCTTACGTCGTTGTTGAGGAAAAGCACGGTAAATCTAGGAATGGGGTAGTCAGTCAGCACACGTCACTGGAGAGGTACTGCCACACCAAGATAGACCTGGCCACCAAAGGTATGTCTGTGATGTTGGATGACACTGAATGAATAACACACACTGAGCAAAAGAAAGTCTTATTTAATACTGGAAAACCCCTAAATATGAAAGGTGTTGGTATTGTTTAATACTGAAAATGTAAAAGAATTTTGTAACCTAGGTTATCTGCTTTAGTTTAAAACACTAAAAAAAACCCAATTAGTCTTAATTTTGAATATGTACACTGTTATTACATTCTACTGGTAACTCACTCGTCATGTTTTATTTGTACTGATGAGCTGAAAAGCTCAAAGTTAATGAAGAACTTGGCAAAAGAAAGTATTGTTAACTGACTCAAATTTCGTTTTATGTGGAGAAATATGACGGTACATATTGTCGTATTGTACATATTGTCGCGGGCGACATTATGTGCCTTACCCTCACTGCACATACTGTCGCCACACAGATATTTTTTCTTAAAGATTTTTTTTTGTTTTTTGGTGGTTTTTTTAAACGTAATTGATGTGTAAATCACACTGACGTGTCTCGTATGCTTTTGTGACGGTACATTTTGTTTTCCTGTTCATATTGTCGCCGGCGACAATGTGTACCAACCCTCACTGCGCAAATTGTCGTCCATCAGTATATGTCGCATGACAATGCATGGTAGACTAATGCTTCCATATAAATATGACTAATCGTTGCTTTGCTGTTTTTGAGAAGAAATTTTTTAAAAGAATTTTCCTATGTAAAACTTTGATACCCCATTGTGGCCCCACTCTAGGCCGGGAGGGGGGTGGTGGTCATGATTTGAAGATACTTGAATCTACACTGTGGATGCTTCTATATAAACATCATCAATCACTGGCCTACCGCTGTTCTCAGTGGTGGATCCAAAAATTTCAGAAAATTTTTCATAAAGCAGGTGGGGGGGGGGGGGGGTGCGCCGATGCTAGATCCGCCTTTGGTTCTTCAGAAGTTAAAAAAAAAAAATCTGTATATATTCTTTTGTAAAACTTTGATCATCCATTGTGTTCCCACTCTACCCATGGGGGTCCTGATTTGAGCAAAATTGATTTATTTTGTTTTTGTTTTTTGTTTATTGTTTTAACGTCCCTCTCGAGTATTTGTACTCAAATGGAGACGTCTCCACTTGCCGATGGAGAGATGCAAATTTAGACCTATATTCGGCACTCAAGGCCAATGAGCAGTGAGGGATCTTTTTCGTGCCAGCATCCTACAAAACTGATCGTACACTATGTATTGAAGCTTTCACATAAGTATCATCTCTTCTGACCCAATAGTTCTTGAGAAGATTTTGAAAGAAAATTTCCTATATATTCTATGAAAAACTTTGATCACATATTGTAGCCCCGCCCTTCCCCCGATGGACACTTTATTTCAACTTTTCTGACACAATGGTTCTTGAGAAGATTTTTAAAAGATATCACTAAATTTTCACTAATTCTTAACTACTTCCCTTGAAAGAGGGCATGGCCTTTCATTTGAAAAAAAAACTTGAATCCCTTTAGTGGTACGTTTGGCTGAAAATGGCCTTGTAGTTCTTGAGAAGAAGCTGAAAATGTGAAAAGTGACGGACGGACGGACGACAGACAAAATGTGATCAGAAAATCTCACTTGAGCTTTAAGCTCAGGTGAGCTTAAAATGTCAACCCCAACACCAATTATATAGGCACATGTAAAAAAAATAATGCAAAAAATAATTTCCAGATAATCATTACTACTGAACAACAAAAACAACAAAAAATCAATCTCCAAGTATATATAACGAGAAAAAAAGGCAGATTTATCAGATCTCTGAGGAATTACGGTATCTTGAGACATACACATGTACATTGTTGTGATGTACACCAATCCTGGACACAATTTCTGACCAAAACCTTTTTCTCCATACAGTATTGCGAGTAATGCTAAATATATACATCTTGTTTACTTATTAATCTACAATACACCTTTTCTATCTTTTATCTATCCTTCTGTCTGTTTGTCTCTGTGTGTGAGAGGGTATGTGTGTGTGTTTGATTTGAACATATTTTATTGTAATAATGCATACAAAAGGATTGCATGAAATATATGGAGATAACGAACAGTATTCAAGCTCAAAAGTCCATTATACAATACAAAGTAGGAGCAGAGCAAACACGGACCTCCAAACATCAGAGGTGGGATCAGGTGCCATGGAGGAGTGAGCATCCCCTGCCGACCGGTCACACCCGCCGTGTGCTCCTTGTCATGATCGGGAAATAACGGAAAAATCCGTCGACAATTCAGTGTGTAAATAATGGCCTAACAATTAGTATGAAAAACGTCAGTCAGCATTTGACTCAATGATAAATTGTATTTGCTGACAAGGTCATTGTATCGACCAAAGAACTTACGAAATGATGACTTTAAACGAGACAGCTGATATTCTTGTTTCATCAACTTATTTGTCAATAATTTACCTCGTTTTAGAAATTGTACATACGTAGAGCATGCTCTTGCGTATCGAATCAACTGAGAGATATATACCCCGTATGCAGGTGATGAAGGTATATTGCTGCATAAGTAAGGGAAGTTGACGATTGAAAAGTTAAAGTCATCACGTTTATCATAAAGCTTGGTTGTTAAATTACCATTAACGTCTTTTTCAAGTAAAATATCCAAATATGAAACAGATGTGTCAGACTCTGTGGTATCTTTTATCTCAAGTTCACCAGGATATATCGTATCGACATAAGAATGAAAATAGTCATTGTTGATTGACAGTACGTCGTCGATATATCTAAGTGTCGAGTTAAACGCCACAGCAAGTGTTTTCTTCTTTTCACGTACAAGATTTTGGACAAATTCTGCTTCATATGAATACAAAAAAAGGTCTGCTAATAACGGGGCGCAATTGGTACCCATAGAAATTCCAATAGATTGTTAGAAGACCTGGTCTCCAAAAACCACATAGATATTGTCAATCAGAAACTCAAGCATCATTTTAATGTCAACTTCAGAGTACTTGTGTGTACAATCAGAATGTTTTTTAACAAAATAATTTTGCAAATGACCAATGACAAGGTAAGTATATTTACGAGTTCCATTTTTATTGAAAAAGCAGCTGTCAATGATATCAAAAAGCCTGGACTTTAATTTATCGTGGGGAATGGTTGTGTATAAAGTTGAAAAGTCGTAAGTTTTTAAGGTGTTGATTTTGGTAAAATCTGATGATTTCAAATTTTCCAAAAGTTCCTTGGAATTTTTAAGTATCCACATCTGATTTACACCACTTCTCGAATATATTGTTGCACAGTACTCTTGAAGTTTCTCCTTCACCACTGTTAATATCTTAGTGAGGAGTAAAGATAGAGGCTTGGTTGAACATTTACTGGAACCCGCTTTGTATCTTTGTTTGTAAGGATTTTAATGAAGTTTCGGAATCCAATATAAATATGGTAATTCGAATTCATTTTGGTTGTTTGGAATATTAAAAATATTCAAAACTGACATATGATTTTGAAGAATTTCTTCCTTAGAAAGGGAACTATGAGTATAAGTTGGATTACCACTTGTAGAATTAAATCCAAGTTCCTCTAAAATACATTTAATATAATGAGCCTTACAAACAAAGACAATGTTGTTACCTGCTTTGTCAGCAGGGACCAGTACGTACTGATCATGTAATCTATCTAATTCTTTTTTCACTTCTGGATTATTGAATACAGAAGGATAGATGGTTTTCATATTGCATCTTAATTTTTTAAAGCGCGATTTTAACATACATCTGATACATTTAATCCATTCTGACAAAGTGTCAAGGTCTTCTTTTTCATGTCTGGCCCATCGCCAGGCGTAGTCCTCTACAGAATCCATGATATTTATGAAATTCTTACGCCAGTTGAAGGATCTCGGTTCCCTAAATTTAGGACCTTTTAAAATTAGTGATCTAAGGTCCTCATTATTAACTATATTTACGTCACCAGTAATAACGTGTCCAGCAGGACTATAGTTATAGGGCGAAGAAGAACATGAACACGATGGAGGATTATGTTTCAGATATTCGATATCCAGGCCCTGTAAAGTTTTCTTGTAATTAAAAAGTTTGGAAGCAACAGTCGATGTATATTTGTAGGAAATACAAAGTGTAGTCTTTAACTTGAAATATGGTGGAATACAAGACTGGACTCTTTTGTGATTAAGAATATTACTTATATTAACCGCGTCAATTCCTTTGTTGGCATATTGAAGTTTAAGGAAAAAACGGATTGTTTTAGCTGCATTTTCTTCAGTAAAACGCGGGGGTTTAAAAAGCCTATGATTGGCAATATCCATAACTACAGATCCGAGCCTATATTCTGGTGTCGAGGAATCAAAAAATGGACTTTCCTTGACCTTTTCAAGAAGACTTTTTAAAAGTTTCAAAGGGACAGAGTAAAGTTTGGTGCGAATATGATGTAGACCTAACTGTTGATTTACGTAAGGTAGTAATGAATCAAAAGAGACATCGTGTATTAAAGGTTTATTGTAAGACCGATGCCCATGACTACGCTTACGTCTCTGTGTATGGTTAAAAAGTCCCATCACATTTACATTGTTACACTGTGGACTGGAAAGATTTCCAACACTATCGACATTGTCATTACATCCATAGGGAAAGGCTGTCCCTAGCTTTCTTATCCAAAATTCTTCTCGTTGTCTACGGAAAGGTGTACTCAGTGATGGACTGTTTGTGTGGTGGTAAATCTTTTCCAGAATTCTAACTTTCATTGACAAAATAGAATGATCAGGTAAATTAAAATGTTTGTATAAAAGTTGCTGACCCCCATTATTTATCTGAAATCTATGACCTGATGTTCTTTTATTCAGTGATCCCTTGGTTTCACCAACATAAACAAGTCCACAAAGATTACATTCTATTCCGTAGACAACATTAGAAGATTTGCAGTTCAGATTTTCCCAAGTTTTGGTACAGAAGCTCTGTCCAGTAAGATTACTGGTGAAAGAAGTGTTAGTTATCAAAATGTCACAGGTTTTACAGTTTTTCGCAGAACATTTTGAAATAGAAGACATGGGATCGGAAAAGGAGTCTTCGAATATATCTTTAATAGAAACTTTACATTCTTTCAATTGTTTGTATGAACTATTGGTTTTATACCAAAACTGGGAATCTGAAGACTGTACATATGACATATGTTTAATATCCCTGAGGATTATCCGAGGGGCACCGAATGAATTCCTTGAGTCTGTGTCCCTTATAGACTCAAAAGAGTGACGCCTTTTTATACTGGGCGACGCGTCTGCCAGTATCATTTCGTTATTCTGTGTACTCATGAATGAATAGGTACCGAACGACAAGTATCCTCGGGGACAGACTGTCCACCAGCAGAGATACATGTTCGGTGGTTAAAATGAAATATATGGAGATAACGAACAGTATTCAAGCTCAAAAATCCATTATACAATACAAAGTAGGAGCAGAGCAAACACGGACCTCCAAACATCAGAGGTGGGATCAGGTGCCATGAAGGAGTGAGCATCCCCTGCCGACCGGTCACACCCGCCGTACAAGCTCTTTCAACTTAATAAATCCTCTCCTTGTTATACAAACAATGAATACAATATGATTGTCATAATAAATAAATTGAGATAATTTACAAAAAAATATGTTGTACATGTGATATATATGAAAATTATAAAGACACATACTCTGAGTAATCTACCTGAGCTCTAATGTTACATAGACACTGATTACAATGTTTATTGAACAAGAAGCTTTCATATTTGCTAAAACATTTAAAATTTTCATTCTGCATGTACAAAAATCAAAGACACTGTTTTGAATTAAAATCTATCTGATTCTCGAATAAATTTCTGGACACTACAGAAAATTTTAATATTTACATCGGTAGGCAAAGATTCGTTTCCACATAAAAAAAATGAGTGTCTATTACAATTTGCAGGTTAAGTTGAAGAAAAGTGTTTATTACGTCATTTCTTGGACGTTCATATTTCTTGCATACAAAGAAAAAATGATAAACGTCTTTAGTTTGGCCGCAAGTACATTTGGGGGAAGAAATTATATTTCTCCGATATTGGCCGCTATTTAGGATACGATTATGTCTTAATTTAGTGTGAATTATATTCCAAAAACGTTTTCCATATGAAAAATAAGGAGGTTTAGAGGAGGGTGTACAAATACTTTTCTTGAATTGATTGATGGACTTTAATTCCCTCACTTCCAGATTGAGAGAATTCCAGTTGTTAATTACCTCTGGGACAAAGGATTTTTTTAAAAAAAAAGATTTTAAAGATTTGTATATCAATATTGTCATAGAAATTTGACAGCGCATGCTTTTTTCATATTATAAAACTTTGTTCCTAATTTTACGATAGTTAGCCCAGTCAAAGTCTTGTGTGTGTTTGTGTGTGAATCTCTCTTTCTCTCTTAGTAAATATTCTTCAACACAATATATCGGCGACAAAATGTGCAAATGTTTACATTTACATATTGTCGCAGACGACAAAATGTGCCGATGCGTGACTGTACGTTTTGTCGTCTATTAAAAGGCTCGTCTCGGTACATATTGTCACCGGCGACAATATTTACCCCGGCGACAATATGTACCGATGGACGACAATATGTGCAGTGAGGGTGGGTGCATATTGTCGCCGACGACAATAGTACAAAACGACAAATGTACCGTCACAAGGAGCAATAAGTAATTGAAGATATCTTTCATTATTTGAAAATATTATTAATTCATTTGACGTTCAGAAAATTAAAGAGAGCTTCAGTTCTAAATTGTCGAGCGCATTAATTGTTGGGTTACTTGAATTGTTATTTTTAAATGAAGTAATAATAGAAGCAATTGAATTGGACCGCTCAATAAATCAAACGAACGGAGCAATATTATAATTGTATTGTTGCACACAATAATTCAATTATTGCTCTCTTCACTTGAATAACTGCTCTCTTCAGTGGAATTAATGCCGTCACGGTAGCTCAGTCGGTAGAGCGCTCGCTTCTTTATCGGAAGGTTGTATGTTCGAATCACGACCGCGACTGACCTAAGTCGGTGAAAAATAGGTAGCAACTGTCCCTTCGTCAAGCGCTCTGCACTTTGAAGTGAAAGTTGCGGGTTCTTTTGATGAGACTTTAAAAACCGAAGCCCCGTGTTACGGAAGGCGTTGGCACGATTAAGAACCTTCACTGCTCAATGGCCCTGAGTGCCGAGTAAAGGTCAAAATTTGAAGCCTTTCACCGGTATATGGTGACGTCTCTCTATGAGTGAAAAATTCTCGAACGGGACGTAAAACAACATGCATACAATCATCAATGGAATTAATGATATCAATACAATTTATGAGCACAACGACAGCAACATTTAATTGATATCTTTAATTCAACATACCGTAATTTAAATAATGATCTCTGAAATTGAATTCTTGTTGTCCTCTAACAAAAAAGTTTAACATAAATAGAGATATCCTCAATTATTCGAATTTATGTTAACATGACGCTCCATAATTTTGTATTTTCATAGATATTGGACAAATTAAAAGAAATTAAACTGATAAAATGTACTTTAACATACAGTATTCAGGTAAAGCAAACTCAGGCATACAGGAAATAAGGAAGAATTTCAAACAGAAGACCGAATTCAGCAATCTTAAGACTGCAATGATGTGTGATTGACTGATCTATCGATTCAAAATTTCAAAAAGAGAAGTAATGTACATGTACATTTATGTTGGTCCTAAATTTATGAAGTACTTTTATAAGTAGGTGGCGCTGCTTTTCCATTAACTACTGGAACTTACCAATATCCCTTCGCAACACAACTTCCGGATGAGCTGCCTACGTCATTTGAGGGTGAGAATGGGTGTACACGTTATTATTTACGAGCGTACATATTACGTGAGTCCCAGGGCCAGCTGGAATTTCTTCTCCCCTTCACTATTATCTCAGTCTTCAACCTAAATGAATCACCCTACGCAATGGTAAGTTATGGACTAAACATTTGTATTTTCAGGTTGGACCACATACTTTCTTTTCTTGCACAGAGACATCATCATTTCATCACATCTCACGTAAAAAGACTGTGGAATAAAAGACATCGTAAGGCTTTGTAGGAGAATCGATTTTTTTTTTTTTATCAATGATTAAGAAAATGCAAGCCTTGTTGATCTTTTTTAATTGCTACGACATGTTGATGATCCATCATGAACTTCATACAAAATGAATAACAAAAAGTGTCAAGTTCTTCAGCTTATCTTTTATGCAAGACCAAGAAGAAAAGATTTTCCTCTGAATAGGAGCAAGACCTCCTAGAAGTGACTCTTAATATATATTCTTATAGAGGTCAGAGGAAGCAGAAGATGTACAGATGGTTAGTTGTTGTACTTCCGGTTCAGTTAAAACGAAGCTGAAACTCAGCAAAATCGGCTATGTTCCAGGGGAGATAATTCAGTTAGACGGAGAATGTGATAACCAATCTCAGAATGCACTTAAAACTGTATTCTTGGATCTCATAATGGTAAGATTAGAGTAACAGTTTCATGATGCTAAGGTTTTCTCAATGTTTCAATCCATATATCCCAGTGGACACTATAATTATATATATAAAGTCTGCAACATCCGTTTCATATTTTGAGGATATATTGACTGTTCACAATAGTGACCGACAAATAACTAAACTGTGTGACAAATCGGATGACTTCAGCTTTCTCACCGTCAGCTTCCCTTTTTTGTGTAGTGATATTCCAATATTACTTGCATATGGTGTTTTATGTCTCCCTAATGCTTCGATACACAATAGTATGCTCTGAGTGCGATTAATTTTCAAACCGAGGGAAGCTACTGACAAATAAGTTGATGTTACAAGGATTTCAATAAGCTTTTTGCAAATTCTACAGTCGTTATGATGGCTTTGTTTGTAAATACAACCTATCAATGAGTCGTATTTTGTCTGACATGTTTCATACCATTTGTTAGGTCATTTCTTTTATACTAAATTTGACAACGGACTACTTCGTCTCAAAACTTAGGGCTAACGACGGGTGTGACCGGTCGACAAGGGATGCTTATTCCTCCTAAGCTTCTGATCCCATCTCTGGTGTTTTCAGAGTTCATTGTTTTTGCCCTTGCTATTCACGATTCGTTTTGTTTACTGGATTTATGAAATTGATCAATGTTCGTTATCTTCACCTTTTACATAAAAAACTTGCATTTAGTTTTCCATTTCATTTGGACACTTTTAATAACAAGCTAAGGCCATCATTAAAAATATCTTTGTTTCCCCTAACCCGACCCAAAAATCTCAAGTTGGGTCGGTAGGTAGGTAAATTATTTTTTTTCTGACAGCAGGTTTGGGAATACATTCTGAAAAATTGAATAATATCTTTATAAATAAAGAACAAAAGAAACCAATTTTTAAACCGAATATCATACAAATGAAGCAACATGTATGGTAAATTAAATCGCAAATATTATTCATTTGAACTTGTAAAATATCTCAGGCCGCGTAAATTTATTGAAATCGAATATTTACAAAAAACACAAGATTCGCAAATACAGAACCATGGGACATTCGAGTACATTTTTCAAACCTACTATCATCTTCGAGTACTTACACAGACAAAATGTCAAGGGCCTTGCGTGGCACAGTAATTCTAGTGTTTCGTTTTATAGTCACGACGTAATTCGGGAGCTTATTCTAAGTCACAGGTCCCGACGTGGGACTTGCAGACCGGTCAGTCGAATAAGACCATAAAAAACGTAGGTCCAGTGTCGGAGTATACATGTAGATGGCACGTAAAAGATCCCATTACTGATGCTTAATGATCAAAGGCCATAAGTGCCGAGTAAAAGTCTAAATTAGGAGCCCTCCACCGGCCCAACAAATTTTAAAGGTATTTTAAAGCAAAGAAACAACCCGTTTTCAAGAGATAACTAAAGAAAAATAAACTGGACGTCTCAGGAAGCCGTACCATAAGCAAATTTTAAGATTTCAACACTATTTGGAAATAGTGTACATGTAAACAATATATAATTCAACCAAACCATATCTAAAATGATTTAAGTTTCATATATCTAATTTTATAGTCACGGAGACAATACACCATAAATAAAAGGAATAAAGAAACGACATCTGAATTATATTTATCAAATGAAATAATCATACAAAGACATATTTACAACTCCTATGGTCCTATATAGTAAAAATAGGATCATAAATGAACTGTTTATTAGATCGAAACGAATCAAATGCAGTGAAATTTATTGATATGTATTCACAAAGAGCGCCCCTCATCTGCTCATGAGGCAGGCTTCGCTATGCGTACTACGCACGTTAATTTTAGAAGACACATTTTTAAATACCATCTTAACACTCCTTAGTCATGGTACATTAATTCACGAGATGTCTCAAGAGTGTAGGATTCTAATAAGTCAAAGATATAATAAGATTGATACGTCACCATTGTTTTATAACACGAACTAACCCTCTGTGGCCACATGTTGTCGGCACCAAATGAGAGTAAAACAAAAGCCGCCGTTCTGATAAAAAACGGATTTTGATGAAATTGTATTATATAAATTTGATAAACAATAAAAAAAAATATTTAAATAATCTTAATAAAAAAACTTTTCAGTCGGCACGATTTAAATGGGTCGGTCGCGTTAGGGGAAACAAAGGTGTTTTTTATTTTGGCCTAATGGACTTAATAATTTGTCATGTAGAATGTCACACTAAAGGCGACCAACAAAGAACACTCTGTACAGAGAAGCGTGAAGACCTGGCATCTGCATGAGATCCAAGGAAACACAACTCTGTCCCTGGACAACATCCAGCTTGTTGTTCCGCCATTACCTCCATCAGGATCCAGATTCTGCAACAACATCGATGTTCACTATTGTTTGCAAGTAATACCACCATAGTTAAACTCATTGTAACTGTTATTGCTAGCGGTTTCGATAATAAAGAATATGAAATACTTGTTGACAAGTAATTGGTTTTTTTTTACAGCTAACAGCAAAAGTATCTTCTGGGGTTTGTTGTAAAGTGTCCGTAGGTCTTATAATTGGGAATTTGCCGTTAGAACTTGGCAATAGTCAATTTGCGGAGCAAGAGGACACAGATGACATTGGTTCCATCGAAGCTCAACTTCCAGAAAATCTAAGGAGCTTAGTAAGGAAGACTTCATGTAAGTATTGTTTTCATAGTTTTTCAAATAAGTTGATTATAAACAAAATTTGATTTAATAACAAAATTAAGATTTTGTCACAATTTTGAATTTCTTTTTTCACAGGTGTTCCTGCATTTCGAAATAGCGGCATATTTTCTGTAACCTTGGATCACCATTTCCCTTTATCTGATGAACATGTAAACAATCACCATGTGCCAGTTCCCTTACAATGCCCTGGAATTCAATGGCACCCGTCATATTTATGCTTCGTTGAAAAAACCAAAAAATGATTTGCATTTCATAACGTGACCATCCTATGGATGACATTACTGGCGGAATTTATGACGAACTATAAACATTTTTTTTTTTTTTTACAAATGATGTAGATACATCTTTTTCAGTTAGCAGTAAAGATGACTACTTTTAAAAATTGAATCACAAACTCATGGCCTTTTTTTTACGTATCACAGTCAACTACCGATAGAAACATCAATAATTTTTTAAACTTCAGATGTATATTATACATGTATAATATACATATCATATATATACACACCTCAAGGAGGCACGGAAATTATTGGACTGAACTTGTAGCAGACTACTAGATGTCCGACTAGATGTCACGTTCACGTGAAAAACATAAGTCAACATGACTTTACAATAAAGGTGAAGGAATGGTAAAAGCATTTCCATTCCTGCATGATTATATATCTCCATTATAGCTACATTTAAATTATGAAAATATGCAGAACTGTCTTATTTTGACAATTAAATGTAAGACATATATGTATATGTTACAGAATATTAACCGATAAGACGATTATACGCTTAAAAGTTAAACAGAGGGTAAGACTGACACAATATTCACCTAATAACCTACTGTCTTAGTTAATTACTGTTAATCTGCGATTGCACTCAAGTTTATCTGCATTCATAATCTGGTTCGAATAGAGTGTAAATCTGCAATTGTGCCCTTATAAATCGTTTGGCAAATTTCTGTCACTGCAAATAGTTATAGCTCTGTTATGAATTAAGAACCATGTCCAAAAATGAATGTAAATATTTTAATTTTTGTGCTGAGAATCATGAAGAGAGAACTAGATAAAATTATTTTCGATTATGGAATAACTGTTACCGAGTGTCCTTTGATCGTTCTGAGATTGATCATTTGTTGAAGACTTAAAATTCTTTTCATTTATTTGGCACAAAATCTCCGAATATGTCGTTTATTGAATCTGTTGGAGGGACATTCATCGTTTGGTTACGCAGTGACGTCATACCCTACATTCTCTTCGGAACCTGTAGTGTCGTCATTATCGTAAGTTGTTTGCTCAATATATTCCTGATTTTTATGTTGAAGCGGCGGAAATTAATTCTCCTTCCAACCAATAGATACCTGTTACAACTAATTATTGTGGACTTTTTGGCGTGTGGTTTTGCCCTTATTCCATCCTGTGTGACAGCTCTTGCCAAAAGCTGGATAATGTCCGAGCCCGTATGTTACATCCATGCTGTAATGTCAACATGGCTGATGCTCGTGTCCTTTGGGTTGGTGTGTTTTTGTTTAATAGAACGAGCAGTTAAACAAAAGAATCCAAAACTTCACCACGCGGTGTTTGATTCTAACCTGGGTGTAAGCATAACGTCCGTTATGATTTGGGCTATAGACCTTGGTGTTGCCATTTTACCAGTATTTGGAATTTCCCACATAGCATACGATGTTTACCAAGCATCTTGTGTCGTCTTTCATTCATCAAGTCTGATCTACGTCACAACTGTTTTCTCTCTGACTTTTGTTGTGTCTTTGCTGATTTTCCTTGTTACTTCTTGTCTTATTTTCAACCATCATCGAAATGAATTAAAAAAGAAGAAAAGTGACATGATTGAACTTTTGAAGCCCTCCCGAGAGCAAGACAACACTGTAACCTCACCACAGATTACCAACAGAAGCGAGAAAAGCACGGTATCAACCACTGGCATCGTGCCAGCAGTGGAAGAGACTCCAAGGGATATCAGTGCTAGGCGAGACACTCTGGCAGAAATGACAATGTCAGATCAGGAAACCGCTAACAACCGCAGTCGTTATTGGAGGAAATTGCAAAATTCCACCAAACATCGTCCGAGCCGTCTGCAGTCCGTAGTAAGTGCCGTTCAAAGCTACGACCTGTTCTCCGATGACCACAAAGACGAAGACCACCACTTGGCCGTGACATACATGATTGTTTACTGCTTCCTCTCTATATGCTGGCTTCCTTCTCTCATTTTGGCTCTTGCTAACGGCTTTGATGACTCAATTTGGCGCGGCTGGTACTCTCTAACAATGATTTTTGCCGTGTTGAGCTTTATAGCTAAGCCAATCATTTATATGGCGCACAACAGACATTTTCGACAAAATTCAAAGATGGCATTGCCGGAGTCAGTGACTGTCAAAGTTGCTAGGATTCGAAATTCAATTTCCACTGCAGTAGACAAACTCGACAAAGCTGTTTTTGTGTCCCCTAAAACAGAAAACAACTTTGCAACAGCAGTTGCGACCAACAAAGCGGCGAAGACTTGGATTAAGAAGGTACGAAAACCTGATAACACACCAATTATACAAGAAGAATGTGATGATAACAACGTAGTCAGATCTGAATCTGATAGAGGACCTGAAGAAACCAGGGAATCCCAAGAGAAGGACTTCCATCCGAACAGTGCCGACATGTCTGAAGTTCCTATAATTAACAGTCCTTCCTCGAGCCAAAAATAACTTTTGGAAAAATAAACAATGTTTAATGTTTGAGTTTTGAACAATGTCATTTTAGACTAATTAGTCTGAAGTAAAAGGTACAAAATGTTGTATATTATGCACAAATAAAATGTTTTCATTTGATTACTTAAGTGAGACATTCGTTGCCATACAAAACAAATGGACTTTTTAAAGTTTTTCCTTCGTTGGTAGTCCATTCCTGAATCCTTATACGTGCATGTGTATACCTGGGGTAATTGTATTTTAATATTTTGTATCATGAACTATTGCATGCATGTGGAGGAGCTTTAATCTCTTATGTGATGTGTTGACATCTCTATTACACCTGCAATGACTTGTCTCTGAAAACAAGAGGCCCATGGGTCACATCGTTCACCTGAGCACTTTGGCTAGGAAAATGCAGAAATCAGTTCAATATTGAAAAGTTTTAATATTAAAGTGGTTCCGGGGTGGGGGTGGGTGGGTGGGGTATAATTTGAACAAACATGACTTATAATATCTTTGCTGTTCTTAAGAAATTTTTATTAATTTTTCCTTTGAACGTTTGGTCATTTAGCTCAACTTTTATTATCAAAAAATCGGCATATCCGAAGCGTACCTTACTATTATAATATTTTTTATCATATGCTTAGTAGTAAATACACCAATTCCGCTCTGTGCGATACGGGTGACGTCACTATACCTCATAACAAGGACCGGTGTCGTATAGTGAGACCCCCCCCCCCCCCGGAAAACTGGCTATATTGTGAGATTCCCCCCGGAAGACGCTATATAGTGAGACTTCCCCCGGAAGGCTGGCTATATAGTGAGACCCCCCCCCCTCCCCCTGGAAGACTGGCTATATAGTGAAACTTTCCCCAAGAAGACTGGCTATATAGTGAATCTACACTACCTGAGGATGATTCCAAATCAATATGACTAATCGTGGCTTCATTGTTCTTGAGAAGAAGATTTTTTTCTATATATTCCTATGTAAAACTTTCATCGTCCATTGTGGCCCCGCCCTAACCCCGAGGGTCATGATTTGAGCAAACTTGAATCTACACTAGCTGGGCATTATGCTTCCATATAAATATGACCAATCATGGCTCCGCTGTTCTTAAAAAGAAGATTTTAAAGATTTTCCCTATGTGTTCCTAAGTAAAACTTTGATCGCCCGCTGTGGCCCCACCCTACCCCCGGGGGTCATGATTTGAACAAATTTGAATATACACTACCTGAGGATGCTTCCACGTAAGTTTCATATTTTCTAGCACAGTGGTTCTTGAGAAGATTTTTAAAAGATGACATAAATTTTTCATGAATTCGCGATTATCTCCCCATTTGAATAAACTTGAATCCCCTTTACACAAGGATACTTTGTAATAAGTTTGGTTGAAATTGGCCCAGTTGTTCTTGAGAAGAAGATGACAATGTGAAAAGTTTACAACGACGACAACGCCGACGACGACAACGACAGACAACGGACAAATTTCGATCAGAAAAGCTCACTCGAGCCTTCGGCTCAGGTGAGCTAAAAACTATCATTGAGAGCTTTGAACGTTTGGTCATTTAGCTCAACTTTTGTTATCAGAAAATCAGCATATCCGAAGCGTACCTTACTATTATAATATTTTTTATCATATACTTAGTAATAAGTACACCAATTCCGCTCTGTGCGATACGGGTGACGTCACTATACATCATAACAAGGACCGGTGTCGTATAGTGAGATTCCCCCCCCCCCCGGAAAACTGGTTATATAGTGAGATCCCCCCCCCCCCGGAAGACGCTATATAGTGAGACTTCCCCCGGAAGGCTGGCTATATAGTGAGACTCCCCCTCCCCCCGGAAGACTGGCTATATAGTGAAACTTCCCCCAGAAGACTGGCTATATAGTGATACTTCCCCCCCCCCCCCCCCCCCGAAGACTGGCTATATAGTAAGACTTCTCCCGGGGGAGTCTCATTATATAGCCAGTCTTCTGGGGGGGAAATCTCGCCATATAGCGAGTCTTCCCCCTTCATAGCGAGACTTCCTCCTCAAATATAGTTTCAGAGCATTATTTTTTTTTTATTGTAAAACAGTGTTTTTTCATAATACGTTTTCATTGTTTGAAAATTTCCGTCATATGAAGCAACATATCTTAATGATAATTCTTTTTTAATTTTTCGGTTTCCCTATTTGTTTCATCATTCAAATGATACAATATATTTATGAATAGTAATAAGAACAGACTCTACTTATGTTATCTCTCAAATTTGTGAAAATCAGCATTATGTTAACGACACGACGCACGGCCATGCAATCTAATAACAATTTTTTTTTTAATTCAGTAAATAAAATCAAATTTCATGGTATGAACAATACTGAATATACGAGGTATAACTATAATACAAATTCTGTTCGTGCGATATTTAAAATTGACGATTATGTATGCATAACTAATAAGTGTTATAGTTGAGTAACCCTTAACTAATTTTTAAAAATATACTTTTAGTAAGTTTTTCGTATTTATTCTTTGAAGTTCATTATTTCCTGAATTTTTAAAATAATAACGAATATTGTACCTCTAATCTGTATAAGATATATGCCCTATACATACGTTTTGTAAAAAAAAATGTCAGACGGAGCCTAAAAATGTTTTATTTTTAAATATATCTGTATTTAGCATGTACGATTACTGCATAAATAATATCTATAACACAACCTTTATTTTTATTTTAGCTTGTCCACGAACTTTATGGACAAACCTCGTATCGTACTTAAAACATTGCCATTTAATTTTAGCGCTTAATTAATTTACACAAGACTTTCAGATTTTGAAGGATAATTGCACTGAAACACTTTGAAACTAATTCTTTTTTTTTTTATATTAATTCCATTAATTAATGTCGGACTTCATGAGGTAAGTAAAGAAAACTGTAAATAATTTACAAAAACTGGTTCCTAATGCAAAGATACAAGATTTTATTAGTCCAATTTGGGCCCCGCAGGAGCAAAAAAGATTTACAAACATGAAACAAAAGAAGGAGGAAGATCCAAATAGATCCATCATTCAGGGGAGATTAGTAAGCTCCGTATTTAGTCACTTAAGGATTAATGGTCATATATTGAAAGTTAGCATACATTCTAGCTTACAATGTTTCTTCTTTCAGCCGAACTTCTAGGAGACAGCTGTCTGACTATATGATAATGAACATAGAGTCCACACCAAACTTAACTGTAAATTTTAGTGGCCAAAGCTTTAGAAACTCATGATACTCAGGTGACCTTCCAAACTATGATATGGTCAACAATTTATTTATAGATTTTAAAGAGATACTGTGTGTTGATACATAAAATAAACAGGTGTGAATGGTGATAATCTGTGAATGGATCAAGCTCGCAAACGACTATTGTTGATTGACATACCCGGATATTCTTCACATTTATTGACCAATCAGATTGTCCAATCGTCAGTAACGGTAGTTCAGTTTTCCTTCAATAAATAATCATTCATACACTTGACTGCTACTTGTTGTGGTGGTTAATGACTGTCACTTACTCTACCGTAAAGGACAGTAAACAATCTCTACGGATGACTGCATAAGTAGTTTTAAGATTTTTCTAATATACTAGTACATACTTTCATTTTTTTGTACAAAATTTGGTGAATTTTTTTTTTCAAATAGTTTCTGTTTTAGATCTTGATGGCACCTTATTTTAAAACAAGAAAATAAGCATTTAAAAATAATATCAAAGGAATGAAAATTAATTTCTACGCTTTAACATGTATCATACGAAAAAAAGAGAGGCAGCTATTCCAGCTCTCTGTGTCCAGAGATAGAAATTTTTTCTCTAAAACAATTACAGATATATTTTAGTGATTGTAACATAGTATAAAATAAATCTATTTAATCTACTAATTATCATTAAATTTTAACCCAGGATTTTTAAAAAATAGATTGGCAAATTCTACTTTATGATTTTACGGTGAATCTGAGAACAAGAGAGTTGGACTCATCAATGGAAGTTTCGTCCGATCAATTCCCGGTTGGCGTAATTTTTGTTGAGCTCAAGTACACCAAGAGTGACATTCATTAAAAAAGCAAGGCTATGAAATTCGAAAAATATATATATATATAAATATGAATTTTAAATTTTAATAATTCATAACATTATATGGTATAAGATGTGTGATGAGCTATTAAAGACTGGGTCTTTTTAACATATTGCTTTTAAATTATATTAAGTTTGTTTTCAACGCTGATGATATGATGACCTGTGTCTGGTGAATTAAAGATTGTTATTGGTATTTTTACGTCCACATTTCAAGGACTGCATGACAAAGGTGTTAAATCTTAATGGTCAGGCGGAAACGCTTAAACAAAAATAAATTTAAAAGTTTTCATTGGCTCTTGTTGAATAAATAATGTTACTGGTCATCGTTCCGAACCAGAAATGATAAACTATATAAGAAAGGTTCCGAGTGGCGAGGTATATTCAAACACGGACACACCAAAGAAGTGAAGATAATAACGAAGAAGTAAAGGTAATAACATAAAAGAGAAGGTATTTACATTTTTCTAAAGCTACTAATCTACTTTGTAACGTAAATTCGCTTTCAAGCTTAAGGCATTTGTTAAAAATAAAATTGAGAGTTATATGTATGACATAATGATATGATATAATGTCTTTGTTTTATTTTTTGGTATGTATAAATGTAGAGAGATTAATTCACGTGCATAATTGAATTCATACGATATTTTACAATGTATTAAACATCTTTCTAAACTTGTACAGACTTTGAGGTAAAATCTGAGAAGACATCAAAGTAAATTTGGAAGATGTATGCTCTGGTGACGTTTGCAGTTCTTGCATATAGTTGCAACGTACAAGGATTGACCTCAGAAATTAAGAAAGAAAAGATCAGTGAGTCAACTTCGCCATTTTCTTTTGAATGAAGTTGACAAAAATCCAGATATATTCAAATAATACTTAAATGAAAATGGTCATATAATGAGATTATGGTCTTTCTA